TTCATTTAAATTATCTGAGTCTTGAGATAAGCTACTAGAATAAGGAATGACATTTTGGGTTGTTGTGGTTAGGGGTTATCTAGTCGTCTCTGACTCATAGTGACCCTATGCACAGCAAAAAAGAACCACCACCCAGTCCTGTGCCAGCTCCAATGATCATTGCTATACTTGAGTCCATCGCCGCTGTCACCATGTCAATCCATCTCATTGAGGGCCTTCCCTTCTTTTGTCAACCCTCCACCTTACCAAGCATGACATCCTTCTCCAGAGAATGGTCCCTTCTGACCACATGACCAAAGTAGGTGAGACAAAATCTCGCCATTCTCGCCTCCAAGGAGCATTCTGGCTGTACTTCCTCCAGGACAGACCTGTTAGTTCTTCTAGCATGGTACTTTCAACATTCTTCACTAGCACCACATTGTCCAGCTCTCACATGCATATGAGGAGATTGAAAACACCATGGCTTGTGTCAGGCACATTTTACCCCTCAAGGAGACATCTTTGCTCTTCAGCACTTAAAAGAGATGCTTTATATCAGATTTGCCCAGTGCAATACATCATCTAGGAGCTCTGATAGCATAATGCTAAGGCACTTGACTGCTAACCAGAAGGCTGGTGATTCAAACCCACCAGCCACTCCTTGGAAGGAAGGTGGGGCAATCTACTTCCATAGTGATACTGCCTCAGGAACCCAAGGAGGGATCACTATGAGTCAGGTCCAACTTGATGGCACACAACAACAACAATACGTCATCTGATGTCCTGACTGCTGTTTCCGTTGGTGTTGATTATTGTTGTTAAGTGCCATCGAGTCGTTTCCGACTCATAGCGACCCCATGCACAGCAGAACGAAACACTGCCCGATCCCGCGCCAGCCACACAATCCCTGCTATACTTGATCCCATCATCGCAGCCACCATATCAATCCATCTCGTTGAAGGCCTCCCCCTCTTTCGTCGACCCTCCACCCTACCAAGCATGACATCCTTCTCCAGGGAACGGTCCCTTCTTACAACATGACCAAAACAGGTGAGACGAAGTCTGGCCATTCTTGCTTCCAAGGAGCATTCTGGCTGCACTTCCTCCAGGACAGATCTGTTAGTTCTTTTAGCAGTCCATGGGTGTTGATTATAGAACCAAGCAATGTGAAGTCTTTGACAACTTTAATCTTTTCTCTATTCATCATGATGCTGCTTATAGGTCCAGTTGTGAGGATTTTTGTTTCCTTTATATTGAGATGTAATCCATACTGCAGACTGTATTCTTCATTCTTCATCAGTAAGTGCTCCAAGTCATCCTCACTTTCAGCAAGCAAAGTTGTGTCGTCAGCATATCACAGGTTGTTAATGAGTCTTCATTTTGGGTATAGTCTCAAATTTATCTCATCTAAGAGTTTGTGGATTCTGTTAGAAGAGAAACTTTCCCAGGGGAAGAGAGTACTATTGAGCCTAAAGTAGCAAGGCCCAAACAGGAGACAGAAGGTCATTTTAGACAGGATGCCTATCAGATAGGGATATCCTCACACCTGAAGCAGAACAGAGGAGTCCCGGGGTGGTGAAAATCATTAAGCTCTCAGCTCAACCAGAAGGTTAGAGGTTTGAGTCCTTACAGAGGTGTCTGGGAAGAATGTCCTAGTGATCTACTTCCAAAAAATCAGCCATTGCAAATGCCATGAAGCACAGTTCTGCTCTGACATGGACGGGGTCGCCATAAGTTGGAATCAACTCGATGGCAACAGGTTTGGTATTTGGTTTTCAAGGTAGAGCAGGCCCCATTTAGGTACCTAAGGAGGCTGTCTCCCAGGGCTGGCCACCGTCTGGCAGCTAAAGTGGGAAACCTCAGCGATTCCAAGGCAAATTCTTGGTCTTGGCAAGTGTTGACAGGTCCCATTATAATTTCTCACCTTCTTCTAGACCCTAAACAAACAGAAACTTAGCCAATTTACTGAGGTGTTTTGAATAATCCTCATTTCCCAATAGAGTATGGTCGTAAGACATATGTATGCATGATACTATCCCTCAAGGAGAACCAGAAGTCATGGACACACAGGAGGCTGTCCCACAGGACAGACCCTTCCAGGGTCAATTCTGAAATGGTGTTAAGACTGTACAAAGATACTGAACTTTGCGAGGCCAGGTAAATGTTGCGTGGCAGCAAAGTTGTTATAAAGATATGATTGTGGAACTGCTGTTTCCCAGGTAGCCGTGTGTTCAAGCTGCTGGAATAAATATGGTTTAAAAGATTAAAATAAAATTGTCTCGTTATGTTTGCCACTAACTGAGGCTCTTAGTTGCATGAAGATACTTGGCCCTTGCTATGAAGCTGGCCTGCCCTAAGAACTGCAGCCCAATTTTGAATGCTCTCATGACAGCCTACTGTATGTAACTTCACGACACTAGAAAGTTTCTCTCAGCTGGGTCTGATGTAGAGGAAGGAGGGTACGTGGGAACAAGAGGGCAGCTTGCAATACTGTGTGGGAACATCAGAGGTGTAGCCAGCACTAAGCAGAAATGAAATTCTTTTAGTACTTGGCAAATTCCAGAAATTACTAGATGCCCTTTACCTCAAAGGGAGCCATTCTCTATAGAACTGCGCTTCTATTGTATGTACACATCTCAGTGCTCTAGGAATTTGTATCCTAGGAACTCACTCTTGGGGTGATTGACTATTTTTATTTCTCCTTCTTGGCTTGGATGTTGTACTGCCAGAAACTACTACATTGCCTTTGTTGTTAGTTAGTTCCCGTTGAGTCAATTTTGCCTCATGGTGACCCCACGTGTGCAGTGTAGAAGTGCTGCACAGGATTTTCTTGGCTGTAATCTTAATGGAAGGAGGTCACTAGGCCTTTTGTTCCACAGTACCACTGGGTGGATTCAAACCACCAACCTTTGAGTTAGCAGTTGATCACGAAACATTTGTGCCACCTAGGGACTTTTGAAAGGAGATCTGGTGGCACAATGCCTAAGGCATTTGACTGCTAATCAGAAGGTTGGTGGTTCTAACCCACCAGCTGCTCTATGGAAAGAAGACGGGGCAATCTACTTCTGTAAAGATTTACTACCTTGAAAACCCAATGGGGGTGCTATGAGTTGGAATCGACAGGCAGTCTATGGCAGTGAGTCTTATTTTGGTTTTTGGTTGTTTGTTTGTTTGTTTTTAGGGACCTTTGAAACTGTTATAGAACAGTCCATTTCAATGGTCGAACTAGGACTAGGCCCTGGTAATATAGGATGATTATACCATGCCTGTCCAACAAGTCCTGGGTCACTTTTGATGAGCTCTTGGAAAGTTTTCAGGGCACTGTCAGTCCGAAAGGCATGACTGAGGGCTCAAATAGTCTGAAATGCATCTGGAAAATAATCTATACATTTCCCTGTCAGACTCTCACCAGACACCAGGCTCTCCACAGGCCAAGCTTGGGATCCAGTGCTCCACAGCTAAAGCAGGCTCCACCAAATCAGGGGTCATGAATAGTAGCTCATAGTGGGATTTACTGAGTCTCTAGTAATCACAGCTCAGTTCATGTTTTTCTGTCTTCTGTCAATAAGTCAGGGTGCCAGTGTGGAATGATGGTGCTCATTATGCCCTAGAACTGATTTTTTGGGAACAACTCCTTCAAGGTTTATTTCCATGCTTTGGAAGCAAATAGACCAACCTTTCTAGGACCTCTGCTCCAGGAAGCAGTTGGATACTTTAGTCACAGAGAGGTTCCTTCTCACTCCCACCAGAGCTTAAAAAATTGTGTGCTTGGAGGGCATTAGGGAACCAGTAGTTCCCAGCTAGGAATTATCCATGCATTCAGTAATTATTTGTTGAGGGCTTAATATGTGCTAAAGGAGCCCTGGTGGGAAAGTGGCTGCTTAGCAAACTTGGCTGCTAACCAAAAGTCTGGTGGTTCAAGCCCACCAGCCTCTCTGCAGAAGAAAAATATGACAGTATGCTTCTGTAAAGATTTATAGCCTTGGAAATCATATGGGGCAGTTCTACTCTGTCTATGGGATCACTATGAGTCACAATCAACTCGATAGCAATGGGTACTATATGCTAGACACTATTCTAGGGCAAATTTAACCAAGAACCATAGGCATGGCCCCACCCTCCCAGAGCTCTCAGCCCAGATAATCACAATCACAACACAGAGAAATGATGAGTGTTGTTATAAGGAAAGAGCATAATGCTATGAAAGCACAGAGCACGGGCACCTAATCTTTGGGTAGGAATGGGATAGCACTAGGGCTGGTACTAGGTATTCAAAACTGGATGGGACCCCAGGGGTACAAGCAGGCAAAAGAGAAGTAGAATGAAGATCTGAATTACCAGGGCCTAGATAAAATTTTGTTAGTCAGATGGAATTTTCCAGAAGTTCTTTATTACACTTGTTTTATGTGTAGCTGTTTTTTGTCTTAGCTATTAAGGAAGTAGAATAGTTTTTGGAACAACTAAATGAAATTACGAATATAGTAATATTTGCAGACCCTGACTTATCACTGGGAAATTTAGAACCCAAATTGCCCTATGTTTCATGATCTGATGGTCTGGAGCCCCTCACAAGGGTAAGGATTTTTGGTCTGTAGCACAAGCTGGAATGCTCCCTAGAAGCAAGAATGCACAGACTTCGTCTCACTTGCTTTGGTCATGTTGTCAGAAGGGACCATTCCCTGGAGGAGGATATCATGCTTGATAAAGTGGCAGGTCAGAGAAAAAGGAGAAGGCCCTCAACGAGATGGATTGACACAGTGGTTACAATGATTGGCTCAGGTATGGCAAGGATTGTGAGGCTGGTGCAGGACTGGGCAGTATTTTGTTCATAGGGTTTGTTATGAATTGGAGCTGACTCCATGGCACCTAAAAACAACAACAGCACAAGTTCCTGGGAACGAGTGACTAAAACCTTTACTGAATGAAAGCAAGATTTCATTCATTCTTAGAGGAGAAAGCTAAAGGATCTGGGGCTTCCCTCAAGGTGGCTGTGTTCCTCTTCCCTCCTCTCCCCAACCCAGGTGATCATGGTAACAGGGGATCATCCCATTACAGCCAAGGCCATTGCCAAGGGTGTGGGCATCATCTCAGAAGGCACTGAGACAATAGAAGACATGGCTGCCCGGCTTCAGGTCCCTGTCAGCCAGATTGATCCCAGGTAAGATCCCTAAAGGACCCAGATTTGACATTTTTGTTTCTGTCCTTCACCTGCTCCCTCCAGGTCCTGTCTTACTAAAGCTCCTGGTGGTTCCTTCAGTGGACAGGATGTGCAGGGTTGACATATTACAAAGTAAAACATATTGGGAAAATGACCAAGTTTTCAGAGGAAGTGGTACAGAGAAGGAGGTAGAGAAAAGGGAGGAATAGTTAGGAAAGGGGGGTAGGGCTGGAGTTTGTTAATCTCAGTGTATGGTTGGGGACAACCGAGGAGATGGAGTTGAAATGAGAAACAACAAGGAAGGTATAGTAAAAACTGGTTAGAGGGAACCAGGCCCTCTAATGAATTCTCAACCCTCAGAACTAGACTTCTGAAATTCCCTCAGGGATGTCAAAGCCATTGTGGTGCATGGCTCAGAACTAAAGAACATGTCATCAGAGCAGCTCGACGATGTCCTCAAGAGCCACACAGAGATTGTATTTGCCCGGACCTCTCCTCAGCAAAAGCTCATCATTGTGGAGGGATGTCAGAGGCAGGTAAGGGTATGAAGGACCCCTTGGAGTCTGGCAGAAATCCTGTGGCAGCCCTACACCAAGAAGAAGAACATGTGAACTAGGCTAGAAGAGATGACCCAAGAGAGTATATGAGGTGGGAAGGGGGGCTCCCTGAGACTTTTACTATCTCAGGATGAACAGGAGAAGGAGGGGTCCAACTCCTAGATTAAGCATGATTATATCAAGAAACAATGGGTGCTGAAACCAAACTGACCTGTGGATCTGGTCCCAATTTGGCATGCTAATTATTTCACTCCTTCTCTCTGGGCTCTCTCCAGGGTGCCATTGTGGCAGTGACAGGTGATGGAGTGAACGACTCCCCCGCACTAAAAAAGGCTGACATTGGCATCGCCATGGGCATCACTGGCTCTGATGTCTCTAAGCAGGCAGCCGACATGATCCTGCTGGATGACAACTTTGCCTCCATTGTCACGGGCGTGGAGGAGGGTGAGAAAGCAGGGTGTCCAAGATTGGGATTTGGCCCTTAGACTCTGATAGGAGTTGGTCTACATCATTCTCATTCCTTTTGCCCCTTGTCCAACCTCCATGATCCTGACTGAGAAAAGCCACCATAAGATAAAATTTTGCAAATTAGATTCAGCTGGTACTTAGAACATCATTATCTGGAGCTCCTTTTCATGATACCTGAGGAGAGTCTATGATGTACTAAGGGGATTGGAACTTCAGAATAGCACATTCTTTCTCCTCTCACTGAGATGCAAGTGGGTCTACAGCAAGTTCAAAGATGTGGCCATACTCTTTGGACTACTCTACATCTTCCTGTTGTTGTTGTTGTTGTTATGTGCCGTCGAGTCGGCCCCGACTCATAGCGACCCCTCCTTGGGTTTCCGAGGCAGTATCACTACGGAAATAGGATTGCCCAAACTTCCTTCCGAGGAGTGGCTGGTGGGTTTGAACTGCCAGCGTCTGGTTAGCAGGCAAGTGTCTTAGCCACTATGCTACCAGAGCCTAGTAATCCTCAAAAAGCCCCTAAGAAGCTGTTGTCTGAATGATGATGACACAACAAGATCAGGATCAGCTGGAGCCTGACCCATGAATGCCCTCTTTCTCTGACAATTCTGAAGGGAATGCCCAATGGTGAGCAGGAGAACCCCAGCATTCTCCATCCCAGGCTCCCTGCCTTCTGCTTGGAGCTATCTTATTAAAAAGTGTGATGAGCCACATGACAATAATCATTACCATTGTATTGAGACAAACTATGATTCTGACACTTTGCTAAGCTTTTTATATGCATTTAATTTGATAAATTATTTTGAGCCCCAACTCTGTGCCAAGCACTGTTCTAGATACTGGGGATACTCAGTGGAGAAAGACAGACATAAATGCCTGCCCTCATGGGACTTAACTTCTAGCAGAGAGAGACAGACAATAAAATAAGTAAATTGCATAGTGTGTTAAAGAAGTTAAGTGCTATGGACAAATAAAATAAAATAAAGCAGGGAATGCAGGGAGGGATTCCAATTTTTGGAAATATATTCAGGGGAGGACAAAAAATGAGATTCAAACCCACATCTGTTCCAAGCCCACGTTCTTTCCACTTCTACCTTATGCTTCTAAAGCTTTTATACTTGCATTCTCAGACATCTCCAAGTGTTAACCAGGCCCAACCCTGCCTAATTGTCAGAGATCAGATGACATGACATTAGCCATTCAACATGACATGACATGTTGAATCCAAGAACAAAGACTACACAAGACATGGCATGTTAATAAACCATGGTTCTAGTTAATAATCCCATCATTGAAGAATAAAACTGCACAGGTTGAGATCTAGGAACTCCACACCCTTTCATAGACCATGACACTGCTTCATAGTGGTCTGTCCAGCAGCTGGTTTGTGGGAAGTGTATCCTCACTGGGCTCCTCACAGAAAGTTGGCCATCTTTCCCAGGCCGCCTCATCTTTGACAACCTGAAGAAATCCATCGCATACACTCTGACCAGCAACATCCCCGAGATCACCCCCTTCCTGCTCTTCATCGTCCTCGGTATACCACTGCCTCTGGGAACGATAACCATTCTCTGCATCGACCTGGGCACTGACATGGTGAGCACCAAAGCCGAAGCCTGATCCATGGACCTCCTGTGAGACAGACTGAGGAATAGGAGAAATTTGTGTCAAGGGAAAGTGGCAGAACTCAAGTTATCATTATTATTTTTTTCATTGAATGGTGGTAAAATATAGAAGGGTAATGGTGAAATAACATGATGAACTCTACATCTTCCTGTTGTTGTTGTTGTTGTTATGTGTGTTTTATTATATATATATATATAATAAAATTTGCCATTTTAACTATTTTTGAGTATATGATTCAATGGCATTAAGTACATTTACAATGTTGTGCAATCTTCATTATTGAATTACTTTTTAAAAATATAATTTATTTTTTGTTGTTGTTAATAATATACACAACAGAATATACATCAATTGAATGATTTCTACATGTACAATTCAGTGACATTGATTACATTCTATGAGTTGTGCAACGATTCTCACTCCTCCTTCTCCATTAAAATAAACTCACTGCCCCCAAAGTTTCCTATCTAATCTTTCAAGTTGCTATTGTTGGTTGATCCCATATAGCTAGATCTTCAAAGAGCTTAGGCTCAAAACAGACATTTTTCCCTAGTTAGGCTAACCTACTGTTTGGTTTTGAGAAGACTTCAGGGCATATTTTTGGTTTAAGGTTGAAAGGTTATCTCAGGGTAATAGTTTCAGGAGTTCATCCACCCTCTGTGGCTCGGGATATCTGGACTCCATGAGAATCTGAAATTGAGTTCTCCATTTTTTTCCCCTTTGGATCAGGATTCTTCTATAGAATCTTTGATCAAAACATTCAGTAATGGTTACCAAGCACCATCCAGTTCTTCCGGTCTCACGACAAAGGAGACAGTTGTTCATGGAGGCAATTAGCCTCACATTCTTTTTCCTCCTCCTATTCCTGACTCCTTCTCCCTCTGTTGCTCCAGGTGAATAGAGACAAATTGTTGTACCTTGGATGATCGAGTTACTTTTGAGTTCTGTTATGAACATTGTGCCTCATTACTCCCACCCTCCATCCTCCAGGTCCCTGCTATCTCCTTGGCTTATGAGACAGCTGAAAGTGACATCATGAAGAGAGCTCCACGGAATGCAAAGACTGACAAGCTGGTGAACCACCGTCTCATCAGCATGGCCTACGGACAGATTGGTGCGGCCTGAGGGAAGGGAGGTGGAGGGATCGGGGATGATGGCTGAGCCAGTGGCTGCCTCTGCCTGGGCATTTGAGCCATCTTGGTTTAAAAGTCAGGGAGATATTTTCTTCAAGAACAACAAACTGTGTTAGCCCCTGGGAAAACAACCATTGATCTCTGCTTGGTCTCGGGCTTAAAGTCCAGTCAGGAAGGAATAAACATACCTAAAATGATAGCATCTTTCCAAGTACCAAATAACAAGTATAGACATAGCATGCTACAGGATTGCAAGCCTGCCAATTATGAGGAGAATCAGGCCTTGTGGAAAAGACAGGACTTAAGCTGGGTGTTGGAGAATAGAGCTGAGACTAATAGATATATGATGAGGTGGGCAATCTGGGGAAGAGGGGGAATGCACATGACATGTTTGGAGGAGAGTGAGTAAACCAATTTGATGAAGCCTTCAGTCTTGATAGAGTGGGGAAAATAAGGGTGTAGACAAGCCTTGTTTATATTGGGGGAAGCCTTAAAAGATGTTTAACTGTCATTAGAAGTCTTTGTTCTTGAGTTTTCAGGTGCAATAGGATGCTTCAAGGAGTAGGGTGAGGGCAGTGATGGACAAGGAACAGACTGGAGTTGGGGGGGGGTCATCCCAATAGCTAGGGGGAGAAAACACATGGAAAAAGCACATATTTAAGCATAAGACTTAAGTGTGAATCCCAATTTCCCCACTTACTACCCGTATGACTCTAGATAATAACTGAATCCTTTTTGCGCTTCAGTTTTCCCAGTTATGAAATGTAGATAATAGCCGAGTGATTATCAGTGCCCACAAGGCACCTTCACAGTGCACAGCACTATAGTTAATAGGCAATAATTAATGTCAGCCATCACCACTGTTTTACCATGGGGCACAGAGGTCTGGCCTAGGAGAGAGGCAAGGGATGGATGGAAAACATGAGGAGAGGACAGGATTTGATGAGTATCTCTGAATGTCAGAGGAAATGGGGACAGATGAGTCAACATTCACTCAAAGGGAAGAAAGGATAGATTGCCTTTAAGGTCTTTTCCAGTTTTAAGATTATATGATTCAAAGATAACGTTGAGTTAGAACTTAGAAACAAACATCAGGGCTGGGAGGCAGTTACAGAAATGATGGGGTCAGATCTTTGATGGTGAGAATCTTCAGCATGGCTCATGAGACACAGGCCAACCCATCTGGAAGTGAGTCCCAGCCCTCCCTCTGCCTTTTAGGATCCTTCTCTGAAGGATCCTTCCCGTCACCCATCATTAACAGGCATGATCCAGGCTCTGGCAGGATTCTTCACCTACTTTGTGGTCCTGGCTGAAAATGGTTTTAAGCCTTTGGATCTGCTTGGCATCCGCCTGAACTGGGAGGATCAATATTTGAACGACCTGGAGGACAGTTACGGACAGCAGTGGGTAAGCAGAAAGGATAGGGTTGTAGACAGATAGTGATCAATAAGAATAAGGAAGTGACAGGTAAGAGTGGGCTTAGCAAATTGTTAAAGAATAATGGGAGAAAGAAGACACTAGGCAGCCAGAATTGAAATCTCATCTATATTAGCACTTAACATTTGGCCTCAGTCTCCAATCATATCAGCAAATAGAGTCTCCTCTTAGTTTACAATGACTTCATTTGCTTTCACTCCTACTACCTGTTATCTGTCCTTACCCTCCTGGATCTTTCAGCTCCATGGGACTTGGAGGTCTTCTTTGTCTTCTGAACCTTTCTGGGCTGATTTCTAGTCTTCCATGTTCTGACCATGGATTGCCCCTGGTATGAGTGCTGTATATCCTCTCTTCTGTTCATCTCCTTTCCTCCATGAAAGTTCAAGTAACAGGACTTCAGATGTGTGCAGAGCAAAACTGTGCTCCACAGGGTTTTCAAGGCTGTGACTTATCATAAGCTGACCACCAGGCCTTTCTTCCAAGGCATCTCTGGGCAGGTTTGAACCACCAACCTTAAGTTTAGCAGTCAAGTGCTTAACCAATTGCACCACCCATGAATTCCTCAAATCTGAAGTCTATTTCCTTTGGTTATCCTTCATTATCATTCAAAACCTTTTAAAACCTAAAGGATGCCTCTCTGTAGTAGTCTTTCCTAACATACAAGATAAATGAGGCCCAAACTAAAGCCCTCCGCTAATGATATGTTCAGGAATTTTAGTAAATTATTTTTATATCTATGAACTCTCCTGTCTCAATTTCTTAAGACAGTGGAAACTGTGCCACGAATTATTGCTAGAATTATAGTATCATAGAGGACACATAGTTCATTATCACTATTGTATAAAGGAAGAAACTGAGTCCAGAAAAAGTTAATGACTTGCTCAAAGTCCCACAGTGAATCTTTAAAAGAGCCAGACTAGGATTCAGCACTTAGGGTCTTACAACTACAGGGTTTTGTCCGTAGCAAGCAGATGTTAGGCAGTTTCATGCATGTAGGCTCTAAGTAGCTTATTTGGGGCTATTGTTAAAACAATTTAATGTGTACAAATTTGAGTTTGGCACCAGTGGGGTTTTTCTGGCTAACAAACCTTAGCATGCTATGAAGAAGAATAAAACTGGGGCCAATAACCGAGGCCATCTTTGACTTATTTATGTTGTTGTTGTTAGTTACTGTTGACTTGATTCTGATGCATGGTGATCCCATGTGTTACAGAGTGGAACTGCTTCTTAGGGTTTTCTTGCCTATAATCTTTATGTAAGCAGATTGTCAGGCCTTTCTGCCATGGTACCACTGTGTGGGTTTGAACTGCCAACCTTTAGATTAGTAGTTGAGTCCAAACTGTTTACACCACCCAGGGACCTTGGCTCATTTTTGTAACAGTGCTTTCAGATAGTGCAATTAGAGGAATGCCTCTAAACCCACCAGCCACTTCTCAGAAGGAAGACTGGGCAATCCACTTCCATAGAGAGTCCACCTCAGAAACCCAAGGAGGGGTCACTATGAGTCACAATCAACTCCACGGCAGTGAGTTCTCTGATGAGATGAGGGGGCTAGCTATGTGGACTTCTGGAGAATGTTCCAGGCAGGGGGAAGAGCAAATGGTCAGGCCCTAGTCTGGGAATTTGTTTGGTGTGTTTAAAGACCAAGACCAGTAGTATGACTGAGCATGCTTAGCAAGCAGGAGTGTGTCAGGAGATGCCAGAGAAGTAATGAGGCATGGGGAGAGGTGACACTAGATAGTGTAGGGCTCTGTAGGACATGGAGAGTCCCTGAGCAGTCAAATAGTTAAAGCTGTTTAAGGGCTGCCAATTCGAGCTTGCCCAGGGGCACCTCAGGAGAAAGGCCTGGTGACCCACTTCCACTGGAAACTCCATGGAGCACAGTTCTACTCTGACACGTATGGGATCACCACAAGTCAACTCAATGGCAACTGGGTTGGTGTTTTGTGTTTTCTTTAGGCCAAGGAGAGGACTCTCAATTTTATTCTAGATGAGATGAGAAGTCAACACAGGGGTTTAAATAGAGTAAGTGACATGATCTGACATAGATTTTAAAAGGCTCACTATGGCTGCTGAGGACAAGAGTGGAAGCAAGGAGACAAGGCAGGAGACTGTTGCAATAGTCCAGGTGAGAGACAATAGTGTTTGGGGCCAAGCTAGTACTGATGGGGCTGCAGAGAGTAAAGCAGTCAAATTCAGGATCTATTTTGAAAGTAGAGACAAAAGGATTTGCTGATGAATCAAGTGGTCAATGTGAGAAAGAAGAGTTGACTTTACTTCCTCCTAAGGAATTCCTCAGAAAGAAGATTGGGCGATCTACTTCCGTAATGATACTGCCTCAGAAACCCAAGGAGGGGTCACTATGAGTCGTATCAGACCTGATGGCAGTGAATTTGGTTTTGTGGTTAAATAATTCCTGACTCCATCTCTGCTCACCAATCACACCTCCTCACCTGGCTCAGGCCTTCTGCACTTCTCACCTAGATTCACCCTTCCAGTCTTCCCTGCCCCCAGGCCGTCTTCCACACAACTGCCAGGGTGCTCTTTCTAATAGGAAACCTGATCAAGCCTCCCACTCATTGCACATTTACAGGAGTTCCCTATAGTTTAACATGCAAGACTTTGTACAATCTGCCCCTGTAGCCTTGTCTCTCCCTCCCCCATACTGTGTGTTTGCTCTACCCACTGACATGATAAGACATATTTTCAAAAGATCACTGTGACAGCTGCCTTAAGAATAGACAAGAGGGAGGCAAGGATGGAAGCAGGGAAACCAGTTAAGAGACTATTGCTATTATGCAGACAAGATACTGTGGTGGTTTGGACCACGACAGGAGTCATTTAGGTGGTGAGCAATGATTGGAACCTGGAAATATTTTGAATGTGTAACAGGAGAATTTGCTGATGTTTTGGATATGTTGTTGTTGTTGTTGTTATGGCTGTCAAGTCAGACCCTACTCATAGCGACCCCTCATTGGGTTTCTGAGGCAGTATCACTACAGAGGTAGATTGCCCCATCTTCCTTCTGAGGAGTGGCTGGTGGGTTTGAACTGCCAGCCTTCTGGTTAGTAAAGTACCTTAGGCACTACGCTACCAGAGCTCCCAATATATATTGTTGTTGTTGTTGTTGTGTGCCATCGAGTCGTTCCTGACTCATAACGACCCCTCCTTGGGTTTCGGAGGCAGTATCACTACGGAAGTAGATTGCCCAACCTTCCTTCTGAGGAGTGGCGGGTGGGTTTGAACCGCCAGCCTTCTGGTTAGCAGTTAAGTGCCTTAGCCACTATGCTACCAGAGCTCCCAATATATATAGGATGAGAAAAAGAAGAGCATTAGGCTAACCCGAAGGTTTTGTGCCCAAGCATCTAGAAAAATGCATTTGCCATTTACTTAAATGAGGAAGAGCAGGTTAGGGGAAAAAATTAAGAATAGAGTTTGGGACATGTTAAGTGTGAAATGCCTATTGAACATCCAAAAGGAGATGTTGAGAGGCAGTTGGCTATATGAGTCTGCATTTTTGAGAAGAGGCCTAGGTCAGAGATATAAAATTGGGAGTTGCAGTGAATTGCTTGATGTGGCCCTTCTAGCCATTGTCCTCCATTCTGTGGTGTTTTGTAAATCCCATTATCCATGCCTATTTGGGGGGTGGTGTGGTAGTTAAGGTCAGGTATCAACTTGGCTGGGCAGCTGGTAGTATCATTCCCTATAATGACTGGCAATCGACTCTGTGATGGGATTTAGGTTAATTCTGTTGGGGCAACACAGGTGGAATGTATCTTGACTCCTCCCTTGCTGGAGGGTATAATTCAAATCACCACCCTTAGCTTCCCTGGGGGTATACCTACGAATCTCCTGGGAAGATTCGCTCTCCCCTTACTCTGGCTTTGTGTCTTGGATCATCATCATCTCACCCCTGGATTTGAGACAGCAGCTGTCATCTGATCTGCTGATTGAGGTTCATCAAACCCCAAGAGTTGAGAGGATCCACCAGACCTACTCACGGACCCGGGACTCGCCAGCCAGCCAGCCTCCACCACTACTACGTGAGACGAACCCTTGGTTGTCTGTGAGTTCTGTGAGGCGTTACAGCGAAATACAGAACCCTAAGACTGGGGAAATTACTGGGAGGAGGAGGAGGAGGAGTTAATGTCTGAAATGATAGAGTGGCATAGTAGTTTAGACATTTGGGACATCTTTAACCTCCGCCTCATGGGGACCGGCCTTGTGCTGATCTTTCTAAGAGAAATTGTTCACAAGCACGAGTCCTTGGCATTCAGATGGTATTTAAAGCCATGAGGCTGGATGCCATCAGGGAAATGAGTGTTCCTAGAGAGGACGAGACGACCAAGGACTGAACCTTGGAGCACTCCAACATTTAGATATCAGGGAGAAAAACAAACAAAGGAGCTTGAGAAGGCTGGTAGAGAAAAATCCGGGAAAGTATGGAGTCCTGAAGGCAAGTGAAGAATACACATCAAGGTGGAGGGACTGATCGACTATGTAAAGTACTGTTGATTGGGACAATAATGTGAACTTTGAGAACTGACCATTGGATCAAGCAACCAGAACTTGTTCTTAATAAGAACAGTTTCATGGCATGATAAAGGCAAAAGCCTGACTGAAAATAGGAGAGAAATTAAAGATAGTAAAAATAGACTACATATGTTTTGGTTACTTTGTGCCTCTATAACAGAAATATACCACAAATGGGATGCCTTTAACAAAGAGGGATTTATTCTCTTATAGTTTGTTGTTGTTGTGTTGTTATGTGCCGTCGAGTCGGCCCCGACTCATAGCGACCCCTCCTTGGGTTTCCGAGGCAGTATCACTACGGAAGTAGGATTGTCCAACCTTCCTTCCAAGGAGTGGCTGGTGGGTTTGAACCGCCAGCCTTCTGGTTAGCAGTCAAGTGCCTTAGCCACTATGCTACCAGAGCTCCCTCTTATAGTTTAGGAGGCTAGAAGTCTGAGTTCAAAGTGCCAGCTCTAGGGGCTGGGTGAAAATCCCTTGACTTTGGGCTTCAGCTCTGCCTCTTGCTCCCAGCCCACTGGAGCTAGAGGTGTCTCTCCACTCAGGCAGCTTCTGGCTGCTGAGGCTGACAAGCCCAAGGTCAACAAATAACATGGCACAGTCCAGATAGTATTAAATAACATGGCAGACTACTAATTCAAGTCCAGAGACAGTCCCAAGATCAGCAGACAACATGGCAGGCTGCTAAATGAAGACTTGGCTACATGCAGGATTCAAGCATGTCAAAAGCTGGAGACCTTCCTCAAAGCTGTTTCTTATATACTGGAAGCAGCTCATATCCCTAAGGCATCTACTCAGCTGCTTCAGTAGATTCCACCATGGAGCTGATTACCAATCTCACCACAGGGAATAACTATACCCAGCTGCCCAGTCACTCAAAACCAGGCCCAGCCAGGTTGAAACAACCTTAACTGCCACATTTTATTAAGCTGTTGTTAGCTGCCCTCAAGTCAACACCTGCCTTGCATCTACAACAAACTATTGTGATCCATAGTGTTTTCACTGGCTGATCTTTGGAAGTGGGTCACCATGTCTTTTTTCCTAGTCTGTCTTAGTCTGGAAGTTCTGCTGAAACCAGCTGAACATCACAGCAACATGCAAGTCTCCACTGGCAGATGGGTGTTGGCTGAGCATAAGGTGCATTGGCCAGAATCAAACCTAAGTCTCCCATATGGAAGTTAAGATTCTACCACTGAACCACCACTGCCCCGTCCCCTTTCTTAACTGTAAAGAGGGGCAGAGAAATGAGTCATAGCTGATGGTAATGTGTGTGATGAGAACTATCCAACAGAGAGGAGAAGAAATGGTGCAATAGAGAGAAAAGATAATTATTGTCAATGTCCTAGGATAGGTGAGATAGATTGGGATCTCATGGACAAGCAGAGAAACAAGGGCCATGAACCCACAGTAACAAAACAGCAGTTTAGGACGCAGATACAGGTGGGGAGGTCGGCATGATGGGAGGGATTGTGAGCATTCTCTTGTTATTGCTTCTATTTTCTCAGTGAAATAGGATGCAATTTTATCAGTTGTAAATGAGAACAGAGAAGATTTGAGGCAGGAAGAGATGTGGCAGAATGGGAGAGTGAATGGACAGGAAATGTAATATAAATCCTAGGCAGCACTGAGGACTTCACTTAAAGTGAATGGTCATGAATTTAAAGAAGTCTAGTCCACATGGCTGTGTGTTTTCTCCAGCCACATTTGGCTCCTGGGTGGTAGTGCAGAGTCAGTAGATGGATGTAATTAACCAAATCCAGACAGAGGCTAGGGAGTGGAAGGTGTATGTAAAAGAATTATTAGATACAACACACTGCCTTTGAGTTGGATCCAACTCATAGTGACCCCTCCTTGGGTTTCTGAGGTGGTATCTCTACGGAAGTACATTGCCCAACCTTCCTTCCAAGGAGTGGCTGGTGGGTTTGAACCTTTAGGCTTGTGGTTAGCAGTCAAATGCCTTAGGCACTATACCACCAGAGCTCCCATTAGATATATGGGCCATGATATTTCAGTTAGGTAAGGAAGGAAGTGAGGCCACAAAGAGGTTAAGGGACTGGAGAAAAGTGGTAGAATGAATAGATTGTAGGTCCAAGTAGAGTCCCAGAAGTGTGGGAGTTGAGATACTTAGGGAGCGGGATGGAAGGAAGATGCTGGTTAGTGACAGAGAGATGCTTGAGATTTGGGAGGAATTGTAGTTATTGGGAAAGACAAGATCTAGAGTTTAACCATGGGAGGGAGCCGGGTGGGAAGTGGAGGACATTGGAGAAGAAGGAAATCAATAAACTGTGAGACCAGGGCATTGGAAAGAGCGTCAACACAAGTATTTAAATCTCCAAAAACTATGACAGTAGTGTTGGTGTGACTGTGAGTCAGGAGCTAAACTCTTCAAGAAATGAGAGGCAGTGGGCCAAGGAATGGTGGAAGACTGCAATAAAGGAGGATGATGGCAGGATTCACTGAGGCGGACAAACATCTACACTGGATACGTGGCTCATTAGTTTTTAGCTTTTGTGTTCTAGTCATTTAAGGCTCTATATTTTGCTCCAAGTACAACTTTAACTGCATCACGTGAGGTTTTATATGTAGTATCTCATTATTGTTCAGTCCAACATATTTTCCAATATTCTTATTTGATCTATGAGTTATTTATAAGCATTTTTATTATTATTATTTTTTTTTTTCTTCAGACAAATTTAGATGAATCTCTCTTCTGTGTTCCCATAGACCTCTGTGATCTCCCCTTTATAGCTGATCTACTGGAGTCCCTGCGTGATCCACATGATTAATGCATGTGCTGCTGACTGAAAGGTCGATGGTTCAAGTCTACCAAGAGGTTCTTTGAAAAAAAGGCCTGATGAGCTACTTCTGAAAAATCAGCCACTGAAAACCCTAAGCAGCACAGTTCTAGTCTGACACACATGGGGTCACCACAAGTCAGAGCTGACTTGATAGCAACTATTTTTTTTGGAGTCCTTGGGTAGCAAAAATTGTTAAGTATTTGGCTAGGTTAGTGGTTCAAAACCACACAGAGGCACCTCAGAAGAAAGGCCTAGCTGTCTATTTCCAAAAAATCACATTGAAACCCTTACAGAGTAACCTTACACCAAAAATATCCTCTGAAGTCTTCTTCAAACCAAACAATGGTTTAGCTTAACTAGTAAAGAATGTCTGTTTTGATCATTCTGCTCTTTCGAGATCTGTCTATATGGGATCCAGTTGACAACAGCAACTGGAAATATTAGAGAGGAACCACAGAGGCCAGTGAGTGTATGTTAAAGGGAAGGAACAGCTCAGAAAAGGAGGGTGGGAAGGCTGCACAACTCAAAGAATGTAATCAATATCACTGGCATGTGCATGCAGAAACTCGAACTGGTATATAGTTTTTGCTGTGTATATTGTCAAAAACAAAATAAATAAATTTTTCAAAAAATTTAAAAAGTGAAAGAAAGAAAACCCTATGGAGCCTACATGGAGTCGCCAGGACTTGATGGCAGCTGGTTTGTTTTTGGGTTTGTTGTACTAACACAGCATCTTTATCTTCTCCACTAGACTTGAAGTTCTGTGTGTATAAAATATGAATGAATGAATGACAGTCTCCTGCTACCATCCCTTTTTGGAATTCCTTTTCCCTCTAGCCCGACCTTTGTTTCTGACTTAGTTCCTCTGACTCCACCATGCCCTGTAATCCCACCTTCTCGAATACCATCCTTCTTATTAATTTAGTAAATATTTGTTGAGCACATTCACTGAACTAAGCATGGAAAGATACGGCGATAAATAAGGCAAGATTCTTGTCCTTGAGGGAGCTCTGTTTCCCAGTAGTTAAAGCATTTGGCTGCTAACTAAAAGGTGGGTTCAAATTCACCAGCTGCTCCACAGGAGAGCTATGGCAGTCTGCTTCTATAAAGATTTACAGCCTTGGAAACCTTATGGGGTAGTTCTACTCTGTCCTAAAGGGTCACTGTGAGTCAGAATCAACTTGATGGCAGTGGGCTTGGTTTGGGTTTTGGTCTTACCCTTGAGGAGCTCCTAGTCAAGTCAAGAAAACATACAAACCAATCATAATACAACATGAAAAGTGCTCAAACAGAGAGATGTATGGAGTGCCTTGGGAGGCTAAAGAGAGAGGACATAACTCAGCCTTGGAGTTCCTGGGAGATGTGAGAGGGAGGAAGTGTTTGGGGTGTATCTAAAGCCACTATCCTTCTGAGACTCTCTCTCTCTGCCTGCCTTTCCCCAAGACTTATGAGCAGCGGAAGGTGGTGGAGTTCACTTGCCACACGGCCTTCTTTGTCAGCATTGTGATTGTACAGTGTGCTGACCTCATCATCTGCAAGACCCGCCGCAACTCAGTCTTCCAGCAGGGCATGAAGTGAGTGCCTCACCAACAGCCCCAACACTCTCCCCGACCTGGACACAGGCATATGCAATTGTTCCCTATCTCTGCCTCCCTGTCTCCAACACACCCATGAATGTTTCTTCCCAGAAACAAGATCCTAATATTTGGGATTATGGAGGAGACATCCCTGGCTGCTACTCTATCTTACACTCCAGGCACGGACATGGCCCTGCGAATGTACCCTCTCAAGTGAGTAAGAGGAAAGCTGCCTATATGGGAATCTCAGGGCACAAGAAGAGGATGAGGGGAGAAAGCATGTGTTTGAACAAGATAGTCATAGATGCCTGGGAAAATGGGGTTACCCTCAGTGGGGAAGGAGAAAGTCATCTGTGCTGTGTTAAATAGATCTTATTTAGGGAGTTATTGGAGACCGTGACAAGGAATCAAAGCCCATAGTGAAAACCTATGGTGATTTTAGATATACCCCCAAAGACATACCAGTGTTTAACAGAGTGGTATCTTTTATGATGGTGTTTAGTGTGATTGTCCAAACATATATTGCTTGCAGCTGAAGTAAGTATAAAAATAACTTAATCTATGCATGGATAATTCTGCTGTACTTATGCAAATATGTTTTACTATGTATATATGTGAGTGGGCATATTGGAACTCTTCAAGGTCTGGCACTTTGTCTTATTCAATTCAAAGATTTTTGCCTTTTTTTTTCCCCAATATTAGTATATGCTTGTTTTGAAAAACTTCTACTTAAAAATTTACAGAGGAAAGCAAAACTTTCTCTTCACCCCCACCCCCAATACCTCCACCCTGCACAGGTCTCCTCTGTTATGATTTCCTGTGTGTTCTTCCAAGTCATTAGCTGTGTATTTGCAGACAACATTCACTTCCACATCCCTTGTAGTGTTTTCCACACACTGTAGATGCTCATAATGTTTGATAAGAGATATTTGGCCTGACTTTAGATGCAGACAATCCTAGGTTTGAATCTTAACTCTACTGTGTATTAGACAAAAGCATCACCATCCTGTGTCTCAGCTTCAATGGCAGAAGTCTCAATAATACAATGGCAGATTGTAGTAAGAATCAGATATTAGAAAATGTGTGTAATACATCAAGCACAATGCCTGGGTCATGGTGGACACCTTGTTACTAGCAGCTTTATTGTTGTTATGGTTAATATGAATACAATGGAACATTCTCTCTGCTCCTAAAAGTACTTTGTGTGTACCTCAACCATAAAACTTAGCACCTAATAAATGTAGATTATTGGTTTTATGTGTTTATTTACCCTCTTTTCCCTGACCTTTTTAAGCTCCTTGAGATCAAAGACCATCACATAATCATTTTCATTTCCTCAGGACCTAGTACAGACACAGGGTGGACATAGGATTGCTGTTGAATGAATAGGTGATTGTATGCAAGTTTTTATATTTGTTGGGGGAGTCTGTGTGTCTGTGTGTATAGAGTAAACATCCTCTAGGCTCATTCAGTCCAAAAGGTAACCACTATCCTTATTTGGGGGGAGCTCTGGTGGAGTAGTGCCTAAGGCATTTGACTGCTAACCAGAAGGCTAGTGGTTCAAACCCACCAGCCACTCCTCGGAAGGAAGGTTGGGCAATCTACTTCTGTAGTGATACCACCTCGGAAACCCCAGGAGGGGTCACTATGAGTCGGATCTGACTCGATGGCAGCAAGTTTGGTTTTTTGGTATCCTTATGTGTCTGTTAAGCACTTAAAATATGACTAGTGCAGTTGAGGAATGGAATTTGTCATCATTTTATCTAATTTTAATTAAATTTAGAAACTAAAGCAATATAAAATATGTTTCTATTAAACACAACTTTATTGTTCTAATTGGACTGCACTTCCATTTAACTGTTGAAAATTTAGTATATGAATTGAGATGCACCACCAGTGTCAGTACTCACCGGATTTCAAAGAAAAAGACTGTAAAATAATCACATTAATAATGTTTATATTGATTACATGTTGAAATGATAATATTTTGGGTAAACTGGGTTAAGCCAAATATATTATTAAAATTAAATTTCCCTTTTTTTCTTACTTATTTTAATGTGGCTACTGGAAAATTTTAAATTTCATATGTGGCTTGCATTATATTTCTATTGGATTAGCACTGATCTAGGCCATCTCTTCTGTCATCCAAGGGAACAAATCCATCTTCCTGGTCTCAAATTATAGAGGAGATCCAGAAAGAAAAAAATGTTTGCCATCTTTGCTTAGGGGAAAAGTGCACATATCCCCTAGAGAAATATCCCCACACTAGATATCTGGAGAATATCTCGGATAGTCCCATCCAACTTAAACAAAAGGGAGCTCTGGTAGCATAGTGCCTAAGGCACTTGACTGCTAATCAGAAGGCTGGTGGTTCAAACCCACCAGCCACTCCTCAGAAGGAAGATGGGGCAATCTACTTCTGTAGTGATACTGCCTCGGAAACCCAAGGAGGGGTCGCTATGAGTCGGGTCTGACTCGACATCACATAACAACAACAACAACACTTGAACAATGCCCTCTTTGTGGCTGCGAGGCCCAGGGTACCCAAAGCAAAGGAAGTCTCCCTCAACAACTCAACAAAAGTTGGTAGATAACTCCGTGAACATGGCAAGCACCTCTAATATGACATTTATCCTATTGTAGTGTCGTTGGCTTTTTCTCCCAGTAGCTGTGATGTTTCAGGAGCAGATTATCAAGGCTTTCTTCTGAGGTACCTCTGGGTAGATTTGACCCACCATCCTTTCAATTAGCAGCCAAGTGCTTAACCATGTGTGCCACCCAGGACTCCTTGTCAATGGCTTTTTGTTTCTGTCTTGTGCCTCTCCTCTTCCTCCAATCCAATCTTCACTCCTCAGGCTCGATGATAGGAATCAACTGGATGGTACTCATCTCTTTGTCCCAATGCCCAGCACAGTCTCTGGCACATAAAGGACACATCATGAATAAAACCCTGAGTTTAAAACCCTGTGCACTGTTCTGTGCATCTTCTCTGGTCCACATACTTCCTGCCACACTGACCAACTCTTGCTCTCTACAGGGCAACCTGGTGGGTCTGTGCCATGCCCTACAGCCTTCTTATCTTCATGTATGATGAAATCAGAAAATTCAATATCCGACGAAGGCCTGGCGGTGAGGCAGCCCTGTGCCCTGCTCTGACTGATAGGCCTCCAAACCCCTAACTAGCTCTCCCATCACACCTGTTTCTTCCAGACCCACTGCCTTTCTCCTCACCTCCCCACCTCACTGCCTGTTCTTCATTGTGCCCAGACCCCAGCCTTATTCCTGCCTCCACTGCCCCATTCCTTCCAGTCCTCAGTGCCCTGTGTCCCAGACACTCAGGCCTTGCTTTCCCTTGTGCCAATCTCCCCCATCACCTTCTCCCAGTTCATTCTGGTTTCTTCTCACCCACAGGCTGGCTGGAGCAAGAGACCTACTACTGAACTACAGAGGAAGAGCACATGACATGGGGCCAGGGGTGGGAGCAAGGGTTAGGGATTCTAAGTTTGACACGATATCTGGGAGAGTTTTTGAGTTGGAGGCAGAGAGATGGATTACCTGGAATGAGAGAGACATGCAATCCTGGGGCTGGATTGAGGTATCAGGGGTAGCAGACGGGGGTGGGTTAGGGCAAGTCCAGCCTGTGTCTGACTGAAGCCCAGTGGGGAGGGGCATTGTCCTCTGTTGAATCCAGTAGCCAATCTGTAGAGTAAATGTCTGGAACCAGCTCTTATCTGCTGGATGTGTTGCATCTGGTTTTGGGGGAATGAAGGAGCCCTGGTAGTGCGGTGATTAAGTAGTACCCAGATACTAATTGAAGGATTGATGGTTCAAATGTACCAGCCACTCCATGGGAGAAAGATGTGGCAGTCTGCTTCCATAAAGATTACAGCCTTGGAAACCCTGTGGGGCAGTTCTACTCTGTCTATAGGATTGCTACATGTCAGAATCAACAAAACAACAATGGGTTTGGTTTGGGGTTTGGGGAGCTGATTACTAGATCCTCATGGTAAGTAAGACCAGGGAAGTCTTTCAAGGATCATAGTAGAGATTTAGGAGGGAAGCGGAGTTCAAACACCTTTGCCCCTTGAAGGCTATCTGTCACCTTAAAGTCACTTTTCAACTCCTTGAAGAACAAGAGCAGGACAAATGACTACCCGCAATACCAAGCTGGGATCAGACAAATCAGAGGATGGGGAAAGGAACAGCTAAGCCCAGCCTTACAAGGAGAGGCCACAGCACCTACCCCAGGGAGGGCAGGACCAGCTCATGTAACTCCTACCCTGAATTCTTCAGATTAGCATGTAGACTAATAGAATTTTAGTTCTAGAACAGACAGATTGTATGGATGAAGAACCTGAGGTCCAGAGAGGTTCCAGTGACTTGGAAATATTATGGTGAATGGTGAATGCGGGACCAGAACTTTGCCTCTGAAGAAAGGAATGGGCACAAGGGAAGGACTCCAGGAAGACTGTGGCCCCTGCTCTCCATCTGCGGTCGGCAGGGCCACTCAAACTCATCCCATTGTTCTGCCTTTTTTCTCTGGTGTCACCTAAAATAGAGACTGTTCCAATACTTTCTGAATCCCTGTAGATTTTATTTTAGGCAAAGTGCCTGCCCCTCTGCCCTAGGCTCCTACAGGTGTTTCCAAGAGCTTGGTCTTGAGCCTGGGCTCCGGCATTCGCTGTGCCTCTTCTCCAGTGAGTGAGCTGTCCCACAGTAGCTGTCCTCTCCTGCTCACCCTCCGTCTGAGTATTTCTTCCTTCCCCTCCACCCCCTCACTCACTTCTGTGCTATGAGCCCATCCAGTTTGCCCTCTGAGTCAGTTCATTCTCAGGCTTCTTTTAGAGCAGAGGATTGGCCATACACTAAAGCATGCAGAGTGAGAGGGGAATGCTAAGAAAAGGTGTGGAAGAAGGGTTTGGAGGCTGTTACAAAGAATAAACACATATGTTAAGTACTATGTCCTATGCCTGGCACTGGGACACAGGCTTTGCATATCACCAGTTAATTCACAACAAACATATTTTCACCACCTCATCCCATTTTATAGATGAAAAAACTAAGTCTATGTCATTCCAAAACTTGCACCCTTAACCACCATGCCGACTAGTCTTGGAATGAGAGGGCTGGGCCAAAAAAAAAACCAAAACCAAGACCCTGGTAGTGATGGAGAAAGAGCCATGGATGGTTCTGGAGGACGAGAGGCCATAGGCTAGCCAAGAGAAGCCACAATAAGTCTAACCAGCCACTCAACAGGCCTCTCCTCAGCGGTCTCTCCCTCTCTCCTGTTCCCCTCCTTCTTCCAACACAAGGTCTCCTAGGGACAGGACTATATCAGTCTGGGGTCCTTCCCCAGTGCTGCTGACAGAGCTGAACCAGAACCCTAGGAGGTTGAGGGCCCAGGGTTTGTGAGTGAGGTGGGGAGGGGGAGTGGGGAGGGGCCAGCTCCTCAGGTTACAGTACCAAGAGCTTCGGGTGTCTGGTGGGTTAAAAATATAGAGGGCCCAACTCAGGGTCATTTGATACCACTGGCTGAGGCCTGTTAAGTCCAAAGGCCTGAAGTCAGAGGCTTAGAGGGAAGGGAATTGAGTGGAGAGCAGAGCATCGAAGAGAGAAAGACAAGGAGATAGGGAGTGGAAGTGGGGGTCTGGGGGAGGATGTGGGTGCTGGAAGGGTTAAGGGTGGAATGGGAGAGCCAGAAAGGTCAAGGAGAGGAATCAGGGGGAGGATGAAAATGTTCTGGCTGTGGGGAGAATCACTGGACTGCTACCCACTGCAGGAGGGGACTAGGGGATGACAGGGCAGGCTCAAGTCACCATTCACTCCTATCTCACACCCATGAGGGTTCAAAAGGTGAGAATCATGTTGAAACAAGTGTAGCGATCCAATGTCTGTGTCCAATGTTCACCCTCCCCCAAAGTGCAGCAGAAGTGAGAAATCAGGGCTGGGTGGCATCCAGGTTGTCCACTGCTGAATGGCCCCACCCACTTCTCCCAGCTTCCTTTGTGCCAATGCCCTATGAGGCCAGGAGATGGGATTCTGAGGTCTCATAGTGCTATCATGCAACACTTTAGGCCTAGCTCTGGCCTTCCCTATGACAGTGACAGCTTTCCCTCTTGGACCCGCTCCTACCATGTTGCTGAAATAGTCTGGCCTTCCTTGCTCAGTCGTGCTGAGGTCCACACCACAGGAGCAGGCAAAATCACTCCTCTAATAGAATCTCATGTCCCTATCTGGTGCACAATGGACACTGACCCTCCAAAAACAGAGATGCCTCAGGGTGGGGGTAGGGGTTTCTCTATAGTCTCCCTCCTACCTGAGTTTACTGAAGGGTCATGAAGAGGGTCATTCCTTGTGAGGGACCCAGAGTTGAATTCATCAACATTTCCCTCACTTCTAGACCAGCATCCAAGAGATTAAATCCCCTCCTCGTAATTATGCTTTGGACCTCAAGTGCACAGAAATAATCAGTTCATGGCACAAGGCCTACGTCTTCTCATTCTCCTCGGGCTAACTTTTCCCCAGGGTTTTTATTAATCCTCTTGGTCTTTTCAAAGGGGTAGGTATGAATAGTAGCAATTCCTTCTCTTTGGAATTACGGTCTGGGAAGTTCCCTCTCTCAACTGGTCTTCAGTTGCTCTAGAACATGGAGCCTATAGGATCAGAGCAGAGAGTGTAAACTGTGGGTAGCAGTCAGATGACTTTCCTCAGAGCCACGCTCCTCTCACCTTGGGCCTTCAGGAGAGAGGACCCCCAAATCTATACCTCTGCAACATGAGATCTGGGCCAGCATATCTCCTCCCACACCCTGTCCTCCTCCTGCATTCCCGAAGTAGGAATGTTGAGTGAAGAAAACGAAACAGGCTGGAGCTGAGCCATGTCACCAGTCTTGGACACGGCTCCATCTCTTATTCAGAGAATGACCTCATCCCTGGTGTTGGTGCTTTAAAGGCAAGTGCAGGGGGTCTCTGTTCTGAAGCCTGGATTACAGTTTTATTGCCCGCCCTCTTCCATAGGATCAAAGAAACCGACTTCATCTAGAGAGGACTCCCAGATCCCTAGGACTTGGAACCAATATCCCAATTGGGACAATTTTGTCTTTCATTATCAATCTAACCTCTGACTCAGAATGCATCCTCCCTTCCACCCCCATTTCCTTCTAATTACACTTGCCCTACCCTCCACTCTCCCTAAGTACCCCTATACCGCCCCTCCCCCAGCCCCAGCTTCTTTTACCTCCGACTCATCTGGTCATATTTTTAGCTCCGGTGTCTCTCCCTTTTCCTTTCTTAATATGGCGATGAGCTTGTGGGCCGGCATGGGGACAGGGGCTAAGGAGCACTGGACATTGGGGGAGGGGGTGAGAAGGAGTTGCTGGTAGCCTGGATGAGAGGTATAGGAGGTGGGAGGATTCAGGCCCTCATGGAGCTATCCTAGCCTCAGAAGGTTATCCATCTCTCCTGCCAACCACGGAGACATATTTAGACAGGACCAGGTGGGGGCTGAGAAGTGCCAATTTCAGGGGCAGCTCCGGTTCCCTCCCCACCCCCTGCTCCTATTCCTTCTCCTGACCCTTTTTCTCTTGGCTCTGTCGGCAGTTTCTCCAGGACCCAGCAGTGTCCTCTGTCCACTGCGCTGGGTTGTCCCCCACCCCACCCCCATCTTGAGCCCCTTACCTCAGGATTCAGGACTCAGAGGCCCCTCCCCACCCCAACTAACCTCCTCTGGACCAGGAGAGCTTACCCAGAGCCCACTACTTCCATGAGCACCACAGACAGGATGGGGGCCAGAGTGGTGCCGTGTCTGCGGCTGGCACTGCTGCTACTGCTGGTGCTAGGGACACCCCAGTCTGGGGTGCAGGGGGAGGATGGGCTGGACTTCCCTGAGTATGATGGTGTGGACCGTGTGGTCAATGTTAATGCAAAGAACTACAAGAACATTTTTAAGAAGTATGAGGTGCTGGCGCTGCTATATCACGAACCCCCTGAGGACGACAAGGCCTCACAAAGGCAGTTTGAGATGGAGGAGCTGATCCTAGAGGTGAGTGGTGGGCCCTGGAGAGCACCCCAGACCCTCTCTGTGCACCCTCATCCCACAGCTCTACACAGATCTCTGAGGGTGGGGTCTGGGGGCAAGGGGCAGTGCCACAGGATCCTTCTTGAGCAACAAGACATAGTGGCATATGGCCTTAGCCAAAGGAGAGCAGAGACTAAGGAATCCAGAGACTCAGGGGGATTGCAGGGGGATCTCTCCTCCATGCTATAGGAGGCTGGGAGTACTAGGTCTGGCTAGAACTCGGGTGCACTTGGCAGAAGGCAAAAGTTAAAAAGGAGGCACTCAGAGAAGAGGGAGAACTGCAATGCAATGTATGGCACCCCCCTGCGCCACCCCACAAACCTGCTCTCCTAGCCAGAACATGCCCTCCCTTCACACATGTTAGGGACTGCATCCCCAAAAAAGACTCAAACCGAATATCAATTTAAATATTCCTGATCTTATATGCATGTCATTTATTTATGGCTGAATGTTTAAGTATCTCCTAGACACCACCATGCCTCCCACTGCCCTCCCAGTGCCCTCTCTCTTCCTCCTCAACTCCAAACCCCATCAGCCCCTACTGGACCAAGTTGGGTGATACCCAGACTGGAAAATTCTTGTGGCTGACAGAGGCTTCGGAATGCCTTTCCCATCGCGCTCAAAAGAGAGAGAGGTTATTGTGAAAAGAAGAAAAAGTCATGTTTGGGGGATAGTGGGGAGATGCAATCCTGCACTTGCTAAGGCCCAGGATGTGTCTGAATGTATTTGTCTGGCCTTCCATGTCCATTCTTCAACTTTGTGGTGTAGAGAGGCCTGAGCTGTCCAAAGCCTGGAGCATTTCAAGGCGAGGCACCAGAGCTGCAGGGCTCACCTTTCTGGGTGTCCCTGCCCCCTGCTGGGAGCTGGAACTGCACTGTGGTTAATGAGCCGAGTATTTTTATCCTGAGTGCTCAGTATCCTGGGCCATCCACCTGCCAACCACTCCCCTCCCATTGCCCTGAGAATCACAGCACAGAGTCTGTGTGGGGGTAAAGCTGGAGGCTGCACCCAAAGCAAAATGAATTATGGTAGAAGATGAGCTGGAGGCTTATGGGGGTAGGGATCTAGTGGCATGACTGCCATAGCCCAAGGACAGGCTGAGTAGAGAGTGAAAGGGGAGCAGACCTGGATGGAAAGAGCTGTGCCCTGAGTCACTTCTCCTTTCTGGGGGAGAGAGGTGACAGAGTGGTGAACGTGGGAAACTGCCCTCACAGCAATCTGACCTTCCCCAGTCCTCAGAGTACGGCCAGGCCGCCACCACACTCCCTCAGTCCTCCTCATGCCACTACCTTAGTTTCCTGCCCTCCACAATTCTCAGTGGGAGTCAGTATGAAGAATCTCAGGGCCTGCTAATGTCACTCCCACTCTGGGCATGGCTTTGATCAGCATGGGGTGCAGGGCAGCCTCAGTCACTCTGAAGCACAGTGCCTTAACATTCAACATAATAAGCACATTGTAAGCAAGCAGCAAAAGTTCAAGAGTATTGAACTAAAGGCCAAGAGGGCGGGTTGTAGGGAAATTGGGAATATTCTGGATCCTAGTATAAGGTCTGGTGGTGTAGTGCCTAAGGCATTTGACTGCAACCAGAAGGCTGACGGTTCAATTCCACCAGCCACTCCTCAGAAAGAAGGTTGGGCAATCTACTTCAGTGGAGATACCACCTCAAAAACCCAAAGAGGGGTTGCTATGAGTTGGCAGTGAGTTCGGTTTTTCGGTTAGTATAAGGTCAAGATGAACTCTAATATTCCCTGCATCTTGGTTGAGTCAGCTTGAAAGCATGAGATGGAAAATACAGGTTAATATGAATTCAGGGGCTAATTTTAACCCTAACCACTCCCTCCAGTTAGCAGCCCAAGTACTAGAAGACAAGGGTGTTGGCTTCGGGCTGGTGGACTCTGAGAAGGACGCAGCTGTGGCCAAGAAACTAGGTAAGGAGGTGGGAGGGGCAGGAAGGGAAAGTAGTGTGTGAGATCCATGGGAGCTGAGGGACTGGGGAAGGCCACCATGCCTATTCTCAAAGACAGGAGTCAAAAACTGAGAATGGGAAGGTTATGGCGGGGGGTCCTGGCAACTCCTTCATTCCTTGTAGAATCCCATGTGAAAATCCCAGAGATGGGATTTAAACACAAAAGCATATTTTAGATGCTGGAGTGGAGGCTAGAGGGTACCAGGGCATACAGCTGTAGGGCTGGAGAAGCCTCTGCAAACTTCTCTTCCAATCCCTCCCTTTCCAGAGCTGAGGTGAGGGGTTATAGCACCCAGCCACCAGGGGGCAGCACAGCCTTGAGCCTGGACTCCAGATATGGATGGGGGAGGGGAGCAGTCAGCAATAATGAAGTCATCTAGTCAGGAATAGCCCATTGCAGTAGAGCCCATTCCAACTCACAAAGTAATAGCAGTGGGTTAAAGGGCTAGCATTCTGGGCTAAATCCAGGGCATGGATATCAAGGGTATAGAGACTAAGGGGCAATGAAGGTGAATGGTACAGGACAAGAGAGAGGGAGAGGATGTGGGCTTGAGTTGGATGGTTGAATGGGTAGCAACCATCCAAGGATTTGGACCCTTGGATCTGTGGGAGGGTTGGGATCATGGTTCACCTCTGGCTCACTCCCTAGGATTAACTGAACTGGACAGCGTTTATGTATTCAAGGGAGATGAAGTCATTGAGTATGATGGCGAGTTTTCTGCTGACACCCTGGTGGAGTTTCTGCTTGATGTGAGAATTTCCTTGAAACTTATTTTGACTTCCCATCCATCTGTCCACCTATGAACCCTAACACACACACACACTTCATGAACATCCTTCCCTCTCCCTGGTTCCTCAGCCCTCTTCTCCCTATACACCTCCCTCTGGTTCTTCCAGTAAGGATAGAAACTCACTCTCTTCCTGCTTTTCCAGGTCCTAGAGGACCCTGTGGAGTTGATTGAGGGAGAACGAGAGCTGCAGGCCTTTGAGAATATCGAAGATGAGATCAAACTCATTGGCTACTTCAAGAACAAAGACTCAGAACGTGGGTAACCCTCAAACTCCTCTGTTTCCTTGCCTGGATCCCCTATTCCATCCATCTCTCCACCTCTCCACTTTGCCGCTGTTTCAGCAGCTCTATCTTCTCATTCCCTACATTTCTTCTTCTCCCTACCCTAGTCACCTCCATCAACTGCTCACATCCCCCTGCACTCTGGGTGTTTCCCAGACATGCACACCCAACATCCCACCTTCCCCCTGCTCTAACCCTACTATATTTTATCCACTCCTAGAGGGTGGGGGCAGGGTTTCAGGATGACCTTCTCCTCAGGGCTCCTCACACACTCAGTTCTACCAAAGAATTTGAAAGAGGCAGATGGGGCAGAACCTGGTTCCCCAGAAACTGACTCTGTGTCCTCTCTCAGATTTCAAAGCCTATGAGGATGCAGCTGAGGAGTTCCATCCCTACATCCCCTTCTTCGCCACCTTCGACAGCAAGGTTCTCCACCTTATGTTGGCTATGTTGGGTCTCCCTCACTCCCCTATGCTGCCTTCCAGCCACCTCTCCCAGAGTCTGTGGGGGACCCTGCCCTTCCCACATGCCAACACTCCCCAAGCACCCTGGGCCCTTTCTGCCTCATAAATTTGAGAGCTGAAAGGGCTTTAGATTACCCAACCCACCTCTTTCATGCTGAACCAAAGCCCAAAGAAGAAACTTGCCCAATGTCACAGTGGTGATAAAACTAGGATCCAGTTCCCTTACTCCCTTCCTTGAATGTGTTCTCCCATAAACTCTGCTTCTCCACTTGCTCCTGCGTCCACCTGCTCCACTCCTCCCTGCCCCTGACCCCTGAAGGTGGCAAAGAAGCTGACCCTGAAGATGAACGAGATCGATTTCTATGAGGCCTTCATGGAAGAGCCTGTGACCATCCCAGACAAGCCCAATAGTGAAGAGGAGATTGTCCGTTTCGTGGAGGAGCACAGGAGGTGGGATACTGGGGCATTCCTCTGAGTGGGATGTCCTCCTCCTTGGGCTAGAAAGCCCGCCTCTAACATGGGCTGGGGGACTCTCAGCCCCCCTGGCAGCTGGTCCCATCTGGAGATAAATGTGCTCTGGGGAGCAGTGCCTCTTGATACACTGATGATTTTGCAGCATATTCTACAGCCCAGGACTTAGTCTCATACAAAGTCACATACAGAGGAGGTCCTCCTTAAATGGTCATTGGGCTGTTGTGATTTACACAAAGTCAGCACATGAGTGCTGTCTCTATTATTATATTTAACCTTTTAAACAACCTCAGTTAAAGAGGCTACACAGGTTGTGTCAGAACTAAGATTCTAACCCAGGTCTGTCCCATGTTTGTCCTAATACATTACCCTACACAGGTGGTTCTCAGTGGAGGAAAGGGGGAAAGACATTTTGCCCTCCGGGGGTTATCTGGTAATCAATATCTGCAGACATCTTTGTTTAGGAGAGTGCTACTGACATCTGTCTAATGGGCAGAGGACAGGGGTGCTGCTAAACATCCTATAGTAGAGCCCCCTACAACAAAGAATTCTCTGGCTCAAAAATGCCAATAGTGCCAAGGTTAGGAAACCCTGTTCTACACAAACACACACACACATACACACACACAACTCTCTTCCTTCACAGTACTCCACAGCTGGAAATGCTCATTCATCAGTGAAAATGTTCCTTACTCTTCCTCTCTCCTGCTAGATTATGGTCCCCTTTATCTGGTAGAACCCTGTTTGCCTTGTTCAACTCTACGTACACAGCACCTAGCACAGGGCTTAGAACATATCAAGCACTCAATGTTATTGAATGAATGGCTGCATAAATAAATACCCAAATAAATGAATAAATGAATACCCAAATATCCAGTTCTCTCTCACATTTCTCCCAAAAGTCTCTCTTCCAGTCCCCTTTGCACAACTTCCCCTCTCCCATTTGCTTTCACTGTGCAATTATCTGGGCCTGGTGCCCAAAGCTTTAGTCTTTGTCAGTTGGCTTTGTTCTGAGCCACAAGCTGTCTGTGACCCGGGCATGACCCAGAGGCAGCCTCTGCCATGGGGACGCTCTGGAGGGGGCCGTACTTCCCACCCACTGAGTTGTTGTTAGGTGCTTTTGGATCTATTCTGACTTATAACGACCCCATGTGACAGAGTAGAATTGCCCCATAAGGAAAACCTGTAAGGTTTTATTGGCTATACTCTATGGAATCAGATTGCCAGGTCGTTCTCCCACAGAACCACTGGGTGGGTTCAAACCACCAACTTTTCAGGTTAGTAGTTGAGTGCTTAACCATTTGTGCACCAGGTTCCTTACCCACTGAGTAGTCACCTGCTATCTATCTCTTCTAGATCAACCCTGAGGAAACTGAAGCCTGAGAGTATGTATGAGACCTGGGTGAGTGCCTCTGGCCAGGGCCAGGCCTTCGGGGGATCATGGGTTGCTGAAGACTCAAGTCCTAGGAACATCCCACCCTCTGTTCCTCATGCCCCGCTTGTAGAAAAGACAGTGAACCAACAAAGGTTGAAGGTTTTCTATTCTGAAGAACATATCAGGAGTTGGGAGGCAGACATAAGTGGATGAAGATGACAAGGGAAGCACCCCAAGCTCTGGGACTAAAGGGAGTTCCAGAGGAGGTGTGGGGGCCCCGGAGCTGAAAGGGGCAGTGTCACTTGGAAAAGGGTCGCCACCACAAAAATATACCTGGCCAGACGCTGGATTTCCACAAAATTCAGGTTTGAGGAAGGTCTAGAGAGTCTGTTCTGGACACTCCAACTTCAGGGAGTATATCTAACCCTCCCTCCCCTCAACAGGAGGACGATATGGATGGAATCCACATTGTTGCCTTTGCAGAGGAAGCTGATCCTGGTGAGGGAGGAACACTGATAGGATTGGATAGGGGATGGGCAGTAGTGGTGGGAGAGAGATGGGTGTGATCGTTGGAGCAGAAAGTTTGTAAGCAGCCAGGGGCTGGAGATAGGGCATTGTGGGAAGCAGGGAAATAGATCTCGACTCCTATTTCTTCTGTCTCTTGCCTCTCTGCCCCCTCCTCATACTTCTCACTTATTTTCCCCCCAAGACGGCTATGAGTTCTTAGAGATTCTCAAGTCTGTGGCCCAAGATAACACTGACAACCCTGATCTTAGCATCATCTGGATTGACCCTGATGACTTCCCCCTGGTAAGAAGCTAACAACTTGCTCATACATTGTTGTCCTAAGGGAGGGTGGGTCTCAGACCAAGGCATCTTCTAAGGAAGAGTTTGTTTCAGAGAACTTACCCCCATCTCCTATCTGGCGGGACTATGGGAGGTTATACCTGTTGCATGCTCAAGGGCACTGTGGGCATTGATGTACCCTAAGATGGGAGAAACAGGTAGAAAAGAGAGCTGCTTGGGACAAAACATATAGTTCCCAGAGCAGAGGCTAGGTAGGTACCCATGTGCCCAGGGTTGACTCCTTCTAGAGAAAACCAGAGTTCTGGTGAGCAGATGGGCATGTTAACTCTGCACATGAGTAACACATTCAATCATAGATTTCATATCTCAGGGGATGGTTGTGTTCCCAGCTGAATCTCCAACACTTAGCACTCATCATTGACTGCATAACTAAAAGAATAAACAGAGATGTGAGGAACAGGAGCAATCATCAGGTATAATCACCTTATTTTAGAGATGTAGAACGTGGAGGCCAGAGAGAATTGACTTGGTCAAGATCATATAGTCAGTTAGTAGCAGATCCAGGATCTGAACATTTCCTATTTAGTTTTCTTCAGGCAGAAGAAGCCAGTGTCCCCTCCTGATTCTTTCCCATTGGGATTTCAATTCCTTTACTGTTCAACTCTACCCATTTCCTTCAGGCCCTACAGCTGGACTCACTCCCATCCACTGCAGATTCATAACGTCTTCTCTTGCTCCCTGGGCTACCCTCATACTCACTCCCTTGGACTTAATGTGCTTCTGTTGTTGTTATGTTGTTATGTGCCATGGAGTCAGACTCAACTCAATGTGCTTCTAGACTCATTAAATTGCCATATTTGGGTCTCTCTACAGCTGGTCCCATACTGGGAGAAGACATTTGACATCGACTTGTCGGCCCCACAAATAGGAGTCGTCAACGTTACAGACGTGAGTTTTCTCCCTTCACTCCCCGTTGGCCTCCAACTCTGCTTCTCAATATAGCTAGCTCCTCTCTGCTCTGCTCAGTAGGGATTTAGTCCCTCCCAGAGGAAGTAGGCATGCCTACTCTCATGGCTGGATGGACGGGAAGATTTATGACCTAAACACTCCTTGCCTCCACCTGTTGGGACTTGTTGCTTCTCCTTCAAGGTCTAGTTCAAATCTTCTCCTCTCCGTGAAGTCTTTCTAGGTCTCCTGTTTAGAATCATTCTTTCCTTGACACTTCCAGAGTCCACTGGCATCCACAACATGATGTTTATATGGCTATTTATGTATCAGGTCTGTCTCTCCCAGTAGACTTTGAGCTCTTTGAGGACAGAAATCTTATCATGCACCATAGTAGGTGCTAAAAAAAAAAGTTTGTTGAGTTGAATAAGCCACAGTCTTTGCTTTCATAGAATTCTCAATCTCAGTTGGGGAAGCAGACATGTATTCTATTAACTACAAGATAAGGCCAGATCTGACAAACTTTATACAATAAAGGTAAAAAATAAAACATCAGGAAATCACATAAGAGAGAAAAGTGGTTTCTGCTTCAAAGAACCAGATAAGGGTTTAAGAGGAAGTAGAATCTAAAATGGATTTCAGTAAGTGAAGATTAAAGAGAGTTACCTCTAAACTAAGCCAGAGCAAAAGTTTAAAAATAGAAAAATTAATATCAGGTTCAAAAAAAGGCAAGTTGTTTTGTGTGGCTTGAGGGTCTAGAGGTCACTGAGGATGGTCCTGGAAAAACAGATCACGGAAAGGCTTAAATGCTGAAGGGTTGCTGACTTTAATCTATAGGCCATGAAATGCATGTGGCCAATGCTTTTGCATGTTAGTTTGTTTTCAGAAACTCACTATGCCAAGAGCATGAATGGAAGGATGAAGGGAGAAGGTCTCTTTGCCAATCCACCCTTTCTTTCCACTCACTCTCACTGTCACTATTCTAATCTAGACCTTCACCTGGACAGCTTCCTTGGCCACTAACAGAAGAAGGGAAGTGGCAACCGACAGGGGATGCAGGGGAAGGATATACAGTCCAATGAGCAGAAGGACAGGTCCAAAGACCAGAGCCAGGCTTAGCTTCTGCCCCCTGCCCATGCTATCTCCTAGGCGGACAGCATATGGATGGAGATGGACAATGAGGAGGACCTGCCTTCAGCCGAGGAACTGGAGGACTGGCTGGAAGATGTTTTGGAGGGCGAGATCAACACAGAGGATGATGACGATGATGATGATGACGGTGACTAGTTGCCATGGCAACCATCTTCCAGTCCCACCTCCTCATGCTCCCTCCTGCCTTCTCTATCCTTCCCTGAGCTCCTCTGGGGACACTAGGGCATTCTCTGTCACAGGGCCCATTAGGGTCTATATGCAGTGCTGAGACCCAGGTACCCCTCATCTGATAAGGAAAGGAGCTACTTTTCCATAGACATCAGCCAAGCCCTCTTATCTGACTTGTATTTCTTGTCTCCTAATTTACCAGTGTCTATTATTTGTTTCTTCCATCACTCTCTGCACTCTTTCTCCTGATTCTCTTCTTGCCATATCTACAGGTCCCCTTCTCTCCTATTCCCTCCACCTATGCAACCCGTCCCCCACTCTCTCAAATCCTATATCCTGACCGTCTAATCCCTGGCCAGGAGGAAGGGAGGGTACTGTATTTGGAGCTGTATCACAGCAATCTCTTGTTAATGTATTTGGGTCAAATGAGAGGCCTCAATAAAGAGATCTGGGGCAGCATGAGCAAGTGTCTGTTGATGCAGTCTCGCCCCTGTGTAGGGGTGTGGGGGCTGGGTGTGAGTGCCTTGTTAGGAGTGGGCTAGAGGACTGTGATAGCAGGGAGTTGGGGCTCCCTCTGGGCAGGCATCCCAGAGAAGCCTGGTCAACAAGCCTATTCTGAACACATGGTGTTCGTCCAGCGCTGCTGTTAGGCTCTGGGAGAACAGAGCGCCAGGCCTGTCCCTGCTCTTCAGCTGATCACCCTCACTGGGAAGTCAAGGCAAGCACACTACACAATTGAAGAGAAACAATGCAATAGGTAATTAAGTGATTACACACTATTGGATAGCACCCTCCCTGCCGCTCTTACTTGAACTTCAACTATAAGCCCAAATGACACTTCTTCAGTGAGGCCTTTCCAGAGCAGGCCCCTCCTTGTAGTCTTCTCATCTGGCTTCCCACTGTTCTTTCTACACAGTCAGCACATTCTATATGGCTCTTCATTTACACGTCTATCCTCCTCACTAGCCTGTGAGCCTCACGAAGGCTTTTTCCACAGAGCCTGGCTCTCAAAGCATTCCTAATCAATCAATGTTTGTTCAAAGAAGGAAGGAATGAGAGAACAGAATGGACTCCTGAGAGGGATCAGAGTGGACTGGATGGCTTCATAAGGGAAGTGAGAACTTTTCTAGGCCTTAAATGAAGAGTAGGATTTGACTAGGAGCAAAGGAGTTGGAGAAGGGACATTTCAGTTTGTGGAAACATCAAAAGTATAGGCAATATGTGCCTATCATATTGGGGACACAGAGAAGACTAAAGAGACAAGAAGTTCAAGTGGTGGTAGTGAGGTTGGGTAGGAATAAAGGGCTAGTTTGTGCAGGTGTTTGAATTTCATCCTGGAGCTGGGGGTGGGGAGGGCAGCATGTAATCTGGCAATGGCAAACATGATGGAGATGGGGAAGGGAGATAATGAGATACTGGAGGGAGCGAGTCCAACCCTTACAATCGGAGACTGCTGTTATATTCAAGGGAAACATGAGAGAACATGGACTACTGTATGGCCATGCAAATGGAGAGGAGTTGGGTTTTGTACAGTGAGAATCCCACAGGTCTGGGCCCTGCTGGGGGTCCTGGCAGAAAGAATCCACATTTTCTCCAGGACAGGCCCAGGCTGGGGGTAAGTGTAAAGGAGTCTGGGGAGTGAGGGGAACCAAGCAGCTAAGAAGCCCATGGGAACTCTGATGGCATAGTGCCTAAGGCATTTGACTGCTAACCAAGAGGCTGGTAGTTCAAACCCACCAGACACTCCTGGGAAGGAAGACTGGGCATTCTATTTCCATAGAGATACCACCTGGGAAACCCAAGGAGGGGTCACTATGAGTCGGATCCGATTCGACGGCAGTGAGTTTGGCTTGGTTTTTTGGTACACTTTTTGTGGATTGAGTGTAAAGGTTGCTGAGAGATTTTCAGGCCTTCTAAGTGTAGGAAGGATGAGATCTGAAATTAGAAAAGTTTTCACTCTCCATAGACAAATCCAGAAAGTATTCCTAGAGGAAGTGGCATGGGTATAGAAACTGTATATTCATCCAATTTATATCAGTTTAATAAGTGCTTAATAAATAGTATGGGCATTGAGCTAACACTATAATAATATTACGGAACTTACAGTCTAGCATAGGTCAGTGAAAAGCCCTGACTAAACAGCAGCTCCCATTTTTTAAGTACCCATCTGTACTAGTCACCAGACTTTGTATTCCTAATCCTCAGAAGAACCCTGTAAGATAGGCATTGTTATCCTCAGTTTATTGGTGAGGACACTGAGGCTTAAAAGGGTAGATTGCCATGGAGGGAATGGAGCCTGGATGAAGCCCACATCCCCTGCAGCTCATTGCCTCTGGAAGACCTGACCCTTCCACTGAGAAACTACATGTCTGTAGATTAGTCATTTAGTCAGTGAAATGATTTTTGGCCCCTACTTACACAGGTAGTTGTGAAGAGCAAATGAGATCTATAAAAAGGAAAATCATGAGGGTGTGTTATTCTCAGAGGGGCAGTGACAGGGGCACACTGGGGGTGAGGATGGTAAAGAGCAGAGACGGGCTTTGGCCCCAAAGCAGCAGGAGCTTGGGCCTCATCCAGGTACAATACAGACCAAAGAAAGGAAGGGCACATTTGAGGCCCCCTGAATGGCACAAATGGTTTGCGCTCTACTATTAACCTAAAGGTTGGCAGTTCCAACCCACCCAACGGTGCCATGGAAGAAAGGCCTGGTGATCTTCTTTCATAAGATTGTTGTTCTTAGGTGCTGCTGAATAACTTCAACTCAGCGACCCCATGTGACAGAGCAGAGTTGCCCCACAGGGTTTTCTGGCTGTGTCTTTACGGAAGCAGATCACCAGGTCTTCCTCTCATGGAGCCAGCTAGGTTCAAACTGCCAGTCTTTTCGGTTAGCAGCAGTTTTTAACTACAATGCCATCAACCCTATGGAGCAGTTCTACTCTGAACCACATGGGGTTGTCATGAGTTGGAATCAATTATACAGCAATGGGTTTGTTTGTTTTGGGGGAAAGGGTTTCTCTGCTGGGATGAAACCAATGGAGGCTACGGTGTCCCCAGAAATGACCCAGGACACTTATGGTTCTGGGACTGCTCTGTCGGCTGGGTTGGCTTCCCTTTTCCCAGGGCCAGAGGCTGCCAGAGTTGAGGAGACCCCCTTGGGCTGCAAATGGGGGTGAAAACAGATACTTCCCCAATTCTTTCTTTCCTCTTTCAGTCTGGCTGAGACTCTGGGGCGAAAAAGTCCCTAGGGTGGAGGGGAAGTGAGAGCTGCCATGCTAGGCCTGGGCAGAGCTGGGAGACAGCGCTTTGTGTGCCTTTGCAGGTTGTCTATATTTGCATGCTGAGCTCACTGCTGCTACTTTTCTCCCCAGAAAATAAAATTACATCATGGTGAGGGGAAGGGAGGAGGAGGGGTGTATTTGGGAGAGGTGAGAGAAACAGAAAAGGGTCTCGTTCCTTGGTCATCACTCCAGGAGCGAATACCCAAGAGATCTGGGGAGAGAAGAATCATAGACCCAAATTAAGGGAACCTTGTTGCTTGTCTTCCCACCCCTATGTACACCCCTCAACGGAGATAAAAGTCTTTTCAGTCATATACACTACCACACCCCTGACCCACAAGGAGTAGTCTACCTGGTGAAGAAAGAGGTTTTCCAAATACCAAATCCAACAGCAGAGAGAATCCTGAGGCTAAAGGCTTTCCAAGACCCTAAACCTTTAACTTACTCTGCTCCTCCCAAGGTCCTAGCAACCATGGTCACTGAAAGGTCAGAAGGGGAAGAGGGCATCCACTGAAAAGGAATTAAATCTGGGAAACGCATTTTGCAGTGGAAGGGGAAGAGGCAGCGTCCCTCCTCCGGCCTCCGCCCACTTCTGTCCCCCAGAACCCCAGCCCCTCAGTCCCCCGCCCCCTCGAGCACTCCTCCTTCTCCTCTCCCCTCCCTGCCGCTCCCGCCCCCCGCCCCTCCCCGGCTCTGACATCACGGCCCAGCCTGGTGGGGTGAGGCGGCGCTGGGCTTGGGCTTGGGCTCCGCGGGCGGAAGAGGCGGCGGCAGCGGCGGCTGAAGCAGCGGCGGCGGAGGAGGGAGCCAGAGAAGAGGCTCCAGACGCTGGTCAGGAACCGGGGGATCCCGAAGTGCCCGCGCCCTGAGCGCTCAGCCCCGGAGGTGGTGAGAGGGGCGGGGGGAGATGTATTGCGGGGAAGGGGCAGATTTGGGGTCTGGTCTTGGTGCGGTGTTGATCCGGGACGCGAGGGCCCTCTTGGGAATGTGGGGGCCCGAACGGTCTGTCTCTCGCTCGGTGCGTGTCGACGGTGGCGTGTGTGCTGAGGACAGAGTGGCCTCGGCCGCCTGTTCCACACAGAACGCCAGTTGGGAGCCGGACCCGGGCCTGGCGATTAGGATGGAGCCTGCTTCCCGCCCAGCCGGCTCTGCCGGGCCAACTCCCGCCCCTCCTTCCTCTCCTCTGGCTTCGGACTGGCCTTCGCCGGCCTGGCGCTCTCCCGGCCCACCCCTGCCTCAGGTCCTCCCGCATCATCCCCTGCTTCGAGAGCTCCAAAGCAGCCCCAGCCTACTGCACCTGAGAGGTGGAAGAGGCCAAAAGTATCTAACATCCAACCCCTAATTAATTTCATACAATCTATGTCAAAATTGACAGGGACACACACACAGAAGACACGCCAGCAGCACACAGTGACACACACCCATGTGACTCTTACACACAGTGTCTCACACACATCAAATCACAAACGTCCCTGCACTACGCATCCAAACCCCCCACCACACCCCCACTGCTTCCCATGTGTGATGGACTGTGGGGCTCCAAGAACACGAGTCTGATAGGACAGCTGAGTGGATAGAAGGGCCACTGCCCCAAGTCCACCCTGACTTCCTTTACCCAGTCCTGGGCTTCAGATTCCTCCTCTTTAAAACAGTGGGGAAAGATGGGAGAAAATCCTGGTCTCATTCTTCCAGAAGGACAGGGAGGATCTTGAGGGTAAGTGAGCTGGTGCTCTCAACTGGGAGAGCAGGGAGGGTAGGGGCTTCTGGCAGCATCTCCTGCTGAGTCCATTTGGAGCTTAAGGTGCTGAGACTGGCTAGTTTCTGGGCATCAGGAAGGAGGAGGGGGTGGAAGAAAGAGGGAGAAGAGGAAAGAATGAGTATGAGTCAGCCAGGGATGGAGCCCAAGTTAGTGAGAGAGAATGAGGGGAATGTGTGTGAGAGGAAGACAGAGACATCAACAGAGGAACAGAGAGCCAGAGAAGGACCAAGACACAGCCAGGGAACCAGAGGGAAGGAGGAAGTGCGAGACAGCGATGGTCAAAAGAATGAGATGCTGCTGGAGAATGGCCTAGACAGGCTCAGAAATTAGGGAGGGTAAAAGCAGGATGGCATTGAGACCTTAGGGAATCAGGGCAAACATGCCTGTTAAGGGTATCTTGTTTCTCTACACGTGTCTGGCCCCCAGGCTGTCAGAGCCGTAATCTCTTTAACTGCTTTTCCCTTTGTGGTTACTCTGTTAGGGAAATTGCCAGGGACACCCTAGGCTCTCAGCTTCCCTGGTTGCCTCCTTCCTCACTTCCGTGACACTTGTGCCCATCATGTGTGCATGTACTGTCAGGCATGGAGAGACTCACAGTCATACAGCATCCTGCCTCGCACAGATCCTCATGTACAATATCAGACATCTCCCACCAACCTGTATGCTGGATTCCCAGGAGCCTCCCTACCAAACTAATTCTATCTCCTTGCAGCTAGGATGCTCACCCACTCCTAATAGTAGCTCCGAATATTCAGATGGGTACACTGAATCCTAAGTCTTCAAGGCTCCCCATGTTGGGATGGGTGGGTAGGAAAAGGTGAAAGGGAAAGGAGGAAAAGAGACTTAGAGACTAGGCGGAGAGGAAATGGATGGGGTAGAGCCAGAGAGATGGGAGAAAGAGAGGCAGAAATAGGGGCAGGGAGAAACCAGATGGGCTAGCGAGAGTCATAGCCCCATCCCCCTCAAAACTATCAGGAAGCCCACCTTGCTCCATCCAATGCCAGGTCTCCCTAGTGCCCTGGGTCTGACTCTTCTTCTCTTAGACTAAGAGCTGAAGGCTTAGACCCTGCCTGTATGCCCAGTGATGACCCATTGTGCTTCCTGGAGTGAATGTTCACAACCCTCACTTCCAGGCTGATCTGGAGCGTCTGCACCTTTTTCCTTTGTTTGTTTGTTCCTTACAAAGATAAAGACTCTCCCAAAGCTGGAGAGAAGCTAAGGGAGGAAGTCAGTTGAGTATAACATTAAAGGAAAAATTAGGGATGAAGTCTCTGCTAGACTTGGGGACTACTACAACATGGGGGCCAGATGATCATTCGGAAGATGATGGCTGGAACCCTGCTCTCTCACTTCCTACTCCTCTGCCTACCCCCTTTATTGCAATCCCTACCCCCATCCCCAATTTCCAGACAGCAAAAGATGGCAGACTGGAGTGCCTACAAGCCCCTCCTCACCATTTCAGAGACCTCCAGGTCCTTGCAGCTGTGTCGGATTGCCCCTCCCCTCAGCCTTAGACAGCTGCAGCAGATGTAGGGAAGGGAGGGGCTGTATTTCCTAATCCTTGGGCTTCCTTCTCTCTTCTTAAATTTACTGGGGATTTGGAAACAAAAGCTAGGGAGAGGAGGACTTACAGAGAGCATCCAGGGGAATAGGGACACTTCTTTGGGCCTAGGCCTTTAGAGGGGTAAAATGGGCAGCATCAAGATAGAGGAGGACCTAAGGATTCAGGGGTTTGTGCAACTGGTTAAATGCTTGCCTGCTACCTGAAAGTTTGGGATTAGAACCCACCCAGGTGCTCTAGGGAAGAAAGACCTGGAGAAAAGCGAGAAAAGATTACAGCCAGAAAGTGGCTCTACTGCTCTTCCTCTTGGGAACCTGCCTCCTGGCCATATACAGCCCCTAACATGCCTCTGGGGCTTGTTCACCTGGTGAACAAAAAGAAAAATCACAATGACTAACCTATAAGAATATCTCTACTTCCCACCTTGTGAAGGGAGTGGGATCCTCTGGGCAGGACAGACCTGGTCTCCAGAGTAGAGCTTTAGGGAATACATTTAGGCACTTCATCCCTCACTACCAAACCAAACTCAAACCCACTGCCAGCAAGTCAATTGACTCATAGTGAGACCCCTGCTGGGTTTCCGAGGTGGTAATCTTTATGGAAGTAGATTGCCTTTCTTCCACAGTGGCTGGTGGGTTTGAACCGCCAGCCTTCTGATTAGCAGTCAAATATCTTAGGCACTGTGTCACCAGAGCTCCTTTCATTCCTCACTAAGTAAACCATATTGATAGGACACACCTCAGTTTTTAAACAATCTGCCATGAATTAATGTCAAAGTGCAGAGCAATTCATTGGTGCTGCTATCTCCTCCACAGGTGGTTGTCCCATTATGCCAGGCTTCTCAAAGTGCCCCCAGGGCTTGCCTCTTTCTCCCCATGCCTATGGAGCACCTGCCCTACACCCCTATGTCATCCTCCCAGCTCTCTCCCTAAAAAGTCAGTATAGAATGATCCTTGCCCTTGTCCCTCTTTTCACCATCCTCAGTTGGTCCTGCCTTTGTTAGGGTTCTGCCTGGGACCAGCTTGGAAGGAGACGAAGGAAGGAAGGAAGGTGTGAGGAAGCAGTGAGCAGAGCAGAGAATGAGCTGGGAGGGAAGGGAACTGACTTCCTGGCAGCCTTGGCTCCGGTTCCTGCCATGGTATCCTGTCCCAAGAATGGCCTCCGCCCAGGCTGCCTGGTGTTCCCTGGGCAGTTCTCTGCACTGCTCTAGAGATCAGAGTTTTTTTAGAACCAGTAGGGCAGACGACTTCTCCACAGGCCCTTAGGAATTCTGAATCTCAGTGAGGAAGGTGACATGGGAGGTGAGGGAGCCAAGCTTCTGCAAAGTCCTGCTGTGGCCAGACCACCGCAAGGGCACTGGTCAATCAGTGGGGTTTGAGAGCTATGTAAGATTTCACCTTCCTGCACCCCCAAATCCGCTGCCCTTTGTCTCTATTGCCACACCCAGGGCTGGGCAAACGGGGTCTCTCTAGAGAGGGAGGGAACTAGGCTAGCCTGTCACTGCTCCCTTGGAGGGCCTCTATCTCCTGTCCTTTCTGCTCCCTCTTACTCACCACTCCCCACACTCCTCCCATCCAGTGGTGTTATTGTCCTGACGACTGTTCTGGTCCACTGGGGGTGAGGGAGCACCCAGAACTGAGGTTGCCATAGGAACAGCTGAGCTGAGGCTGAAGCCTTCTCATCATGGACTGTGTGCTCCCCTCCCCCCCCCATTCCTCATTTGTATCCTCAGTCTTTTTCCTTTTCTCAACCCCAGTTCTCCCCTACATTCTGTAAGCTCCTCTCAACCTGCCTTTTCCCTGGATGGAAGCCTGTGGTTGTATACTTTTTTTCCACAAGCTCTTGCTGTGCTGGCTCAGACACAAACACACGTACCACGTACGCACACAGCCAGTGCACCCACAGCCCATATCCAATGCTGGCATGTACACATCTGTTTGTTAGCAGCACATCCATACACACACACAAATACCCAAATGGGTATTGCCTCCTCCACATACCTACACCCATCCCCAGTCATCAGCATCTACCCAGAGAATGCTGGCACACTCACATTTCTCCCCTGCCACTTTTAACATTCTCACCCCCACTTCTGCTAGGGCCCTCCTTGTATCTGTTTCACTCCCCAAGAAAGCTCCTATCTAGTACCCCCACCAACCTTTGTGGGTGGGTGTCTCACACACACTCATTCCTTCCCACTCACCACCTCAGTAAGTCTGTTTTAAATTCAGAGCCCTAAATCTTAACTCCTCCCAAGAGATACACACACGCACACACACTGCTCCCATAGGATCGTTCATATTTACAAATGCTACTTTTCCATGTGAAAGCAGGTCAGGATAACCCTAAATTCTGCCCCCTTTTCCAGCTGATGGCTTGGCCCCAGGGCCCCCTCCACTGGGGCAGGGGCTTCTCGGCGCACCCTGTCAACTTCCCATACTGCCCTTGCCCTTCTGGTTCTCTTCACCAATACCTCCCCTCAGCCCCCCATTCTTATACCCATTTCTAGACCCTTTCCCCATAATCCCCCTCATCTACACTGATTTCTGTCCTCAGATTAGGTGGTGGTGGTGTGGCCTGTGCTCCAGAGCCTGCTGCTATGACCTAGATTTCAAGGCAGAAATGGTTACTGGTGCTGACAGTCACAGAGCATTGTTCCTGGCCCTGGCTGGCAGGGCCACTGCTGGGCCCTTCTGTCTGGTTGCACCTGGGTGTACAAGTGAGCGTGTCTATGAGTGCCTGTTTCTTGCTGCAGGGTCATGCTGACTGGCCCTGCTCTCTGGCTCATTGTGTGTTTGTGTCACGGTGCCTGCCACCAAAGACAGCTTGTTTGTTCTGGTCCAGTAGGGTGTTGGGAATGGGGACTTCTGTGTTTGGGGCCTCAGTGTAGTGACATGCTTGTCTGCCTCAGTTTCCATGCATATTGGCCAGAACGGGTGTATTAACTAGCACCCTTTTGTCTGCCAAATGCCTATCTCAACATTGGGGTGCTCTGTGGGCAGCCTGAGTTAAATACATGGCCATCTAGTTCCTTTCCATCCCTTGGTCTAGCCAGCGATAATGACATGCTTTATTTATTCTGACTATAAAACAAGTATGCTTGCACTGTGGGAAATAATGCCATTTTTTGAGCTCACCACTAGAACTTCATATTATCAATCTAGAAAGTTCATCCTAAGGTTTGTCCTTCCTTCTTCCTGCCTTAGCCCAAGTACCTATTTTAATGAGCGGAAGGAGGGTCTTGAAATGTGTTCTCTATCTTCTCTTCTAAGGATCTTAATGAAAAGAGAGATGGGTTAAGAACCTCTATGAGATCTGGCCTTGCCCAACCCCCTGGGGGAAGTCAGCAGGGTGTTGATGCAGGAAGGGTAGAAGCCCCCTTCATGCCAGACTCTCCCAAAGCTGCATCCAAGCCCCCCTCCTCCTGCCACCCAGCCAGCCTGGGAACTGGGCAAGGCGCCAGAGCCAGCCGCTTGGTATTCTTGGGCGCGGGGGCTGTAGGCACAGCACAAAGGCTAAGAGAGAGAGGGCTGAGTGGGGGCCTGGTAGTCATCAAGGGGGAAAATGGGCTCTATAAAGGTGGGGGTGGTCCACTGCTTCCCCTGACCACCCCCCCACAAGCTCTCAATACTATACAGGGCTGAGCAGAGAGAGGCCAGGGGGCTATTAGACCAAGCAACTAGGCATCCATTCAAAATGAACCATTAGTGAAGTGATGGGGAATTGACTCGAGGGACCCCTTTACTTCTGGAGAAGCTAGGACACATGGAGAAGCTAGGACACACGAGCACGAACCAACCCCCTCCAGTCCCTTTTCAGCTTCTCACAGCCACAAGTCTCTCTCTGATTGTTTTTGTTTTTTTGGACAAGGGGAGGGGTTGCAGGTGGGTGGGGCAATTCCAGAGGGGGGGACTTGAAGGCAGCGGGTGAGAAAGTTGAATTCGGAATTGGAGCAGGTTGCTATGGTAACCTCCTCCTCAGTCAGGGGAGCTGTTGCCAGGGTTACTGTTGGGGGGGGGGAGATGATGGGGGAAGGTGTGACTGTCACTGTAGGCTCAAGCCTGGTTCCAGCTTCTAAGTTTTTTCCTATCTACACCCTGCCTCCTCCCCTGGGTCTTCCTTTTCCTCCTCCAATCCTGGTCTTCCCCACTCTTAGGCACATACCTGGTAGGATAAAAGGGGAATGGGTATGCCAGTGAGTGAACCAGACCCCAAGCCTCAAGCTTTGTCCCTTCTCCCTTTGTTGCCTTCCAACCTAGTCATGGCCGAGTACGGGACCCTCCTCCAGGACCTGACCAACAACATCACCCTTGAAGATTTGGAGCAGCTCAAGTCAGCCTGCAAAGAGGACATCCCCAGTGAGAAGAGTGAGGAGATAACTACTGGCAGTGCCTGGTTTCGCTTCCTGGAGAGCCACAATAAGCTGGACAAAGGTGGGGGAGGGGAGCACAAGGGTTCTGCCATCAGCCTTTTGGGCTCAGTTCATTCAGCAAATAGAGATAAACCCAAAGCTTTTCTCTTGACAAGGTAGACTAAAAGAGATGCTTTAAGAGAATATAAGGGCTCTAGGGCACTGATGTTAAACATTTTCATTCTGCCCCTTGGCAGTAAAAAATGTTATCCAGGTATTACCATACTATTATCACATATAAAACAGAACATAAAAATAGAGACATTATGAGATTTAAAATTAAAACTGGAAACACAAGTTCTGACATTTTCTTACCCACTGTTAAGAGACCACTGCCTTGGACAGGAGAGGGAGGTCAATGAATCGGAGCAGTCCCACCTAGCTCGGGGCTTTAGGGAAGAACTGATGTTTAATAATACCCTGAAAGGCAAGTAGGTATTCAAAGGCAAGATCCAGAGGGGATGCTAGGCAGAGGAACACGATCACAGGGGTAAGGGAGTGCCTGGTATGTCTGAGAAAAGCAAAGGGTTCTGCTTGGCTTGGCTGAACATAAGATACATATAGAAGTGGCTAGAAAGATAAGGCTGTGCTGTTGAGGGATCTGAGTGATAGGGTAGTTTATACGAATTTGATAGGTGTTGAGTGATTTAGGTCCCTTGAGAAATACTAATCTGCCTGTATAAACAAGAGGAAAGGAATCTGAAGGACACATCACACATCACAACTAGACTAATGAAATAGTCAGAGATGAAGAGCTGGGAAAGAATGTCCACGGGCCTCTGGACTCTCCCAACACTGGCCAAGCCCTAAAGAACTTTCTGGTAGTGCATATACCTTCTCTCATTCAGAATATCTATGTCTTAGCTAGGCCCAGAATCTCTTCTGGGTTGTCCAGGGATTCCACTTCTCCAGTCCCACCAGGGTAGAAACTGGTACTTACTCAGGAGATGAAAGAGACACGGTAAGTGAGGTACTGGGAAGGCAGGTTACTTTGTCTGTTCTCCCCTCCACCCAGCGTGAGTCCTGGTATCTAACCAATATCCTTCAGTTTATATCCACTATCTACAAGCTTCACCGATCAACTATTTGCCTTTCTTGGGAACTTCTTGTACTGTGATCGGGGTGCCTCAGCTTTCATTTCCTGCTCAGTAGCCCTTCTTCTTATAATGTTGCCCCTTCCCAATAATGAATGTGAGCAACTCAGCCTTGGTTCCAGAGTCCTGGTCTGGTAGAATTAGGGAAGCTGACCTCTGCAGCTTAGTTCTGATCCTTAGGTCTCCTGCCTTCCAGACAACCTCTCCTATATTGAGCACATCTTTGAGATCTCCCGCCGTCCTGACCTACTCACTATGGTGGTTGACTATAGGACTCGCGTGCTGAAGATCTCTGAGGAGGATGAGCTGGACACCAAGCTAACCCGTATCCCCAGTGCCAAGAAGTACAAAGGTAAGAGGCCCAGTGCCTTCTCATCAATTATCCATAGGGTACTTGTACTTTTAGAGAATGGTGGCTGATGATTACTGCACTTACCTGGCACTTCCCACAACTTCTCTCCCTGGACACACATCCCTTTTTGCCTGCAGACATTATCCGGCAGCCCTCTGAGGAAGAGATCATCAAATTGGCCCCCCCACCGAAGAAGGCTTGAGCAAGGGGGAAGAAGAGGAGGAAGGTTGGACCTTCATCAGACCACTCCCTTCCCCCATTCTCCAAGGGAGGGAGCAAGGGCACCCCCCATCTACCCACTTACTAACCTGGTCTTAACCCCCTTACTGTGCGCGTGTGTGTGCGTGTGCGCACGCTCTGGCTGTCTGTCTACATGTCTAGCTCATCTAGTTCCTCCTCCCTGTCGGGCTGGGGGTCAGGGGCTGGGGGTCAGGGGCTGGGGGAAGAGGGCTTAGTCTCCCAACTCTAAGGGGAGGTAGGGGCTATTTCTATGCAAATAGAAATTGGCACATTCCTCCTACTTCCCTTTCCTCCACTCTCCACCATCTCTGAAGTGTGGGAGCAGAAAGGACCTGCATTTTCTTACTGCAAAGAGCTGAGGTGGGGGTGAGGCATGGGAGAATGAGTGGATGTATGGAAAACCAGTGCAGAGGGAAAGTGAAGAGGCCACTCAACCCCACCTGGAAGGGGCAAGGAAAAGCCAGAGATCAATGTTCACACTCCCACGGGGAACTAGAAGATTGAAGTTTCCAGATTTTCCTCAGGTTGGAGGGCCTGGGCACCAGCAGGTCCCTTTTTGCTCCCATCTCATGGGCGGAGGATGACTATAAGCCAGGAATCTAACAAAAGAGGACCACTGGATCCTTTCCTGGCCCTGATCAAACCCCTCAAGGCACCTAGCATGCTACACTCCCCTCCCCCACCCCAACCACCTCTGCTCTGGAAAGACGATGCTGGGAGCATGCGCCACTGAGCCGGAGATGGGGATGAGGACAGAGAGAAGGATCTCCTTTTTCACTACTCCTTTATTCCTACTCAAACTGTTGCACATACTGACCCTGAACCTAGTGAGGTTTGGGGAGTAAGATTCTTAGCTTTCAGCCCTAATCCAGCCCCTCACCGCCAGGGTCCAAATGTGGTTATTGCAAGCAACCTTTCCTATTTCCCTGTAGAACACCCTCGGGCCAGAGAGAATGGAAGAAGTTAACTAGTTTTCCTTTGCACTGATCCTCAATTCAGTTCGATCCAGGAGGGGATGTAGTGACCCCTCTCCCCAATACCCTGGCCCCTTGGGTTTGTGGATGCCCCTTAGCCAAATCACTATAGTGAGTAACTCCAGCTCCTGCCTGTCCCAAGATGCCCCTCCCTAACCCGACCGTGCTAACTGTGTATACATATATATTCTACATATATGTATATTAAACCTGCACTGCCATGTCTGCCCTTCTTTGTGGTGTCTAGCATTAACTTATTGTGTAGGGCAGAGTGGGGGTGGGAGGGGAATGCCACAGTGAAGGGAGTGGCAAAGTCAAATTGCTATAGTCAAAACAAAAAAGAAAGCTTTTTTAAAAAAACAAAACCAACAATAAACTAAATTCACATTCAATCTCAGATTATTTAGAGGAAGTTTAAGTTAGGAGCTTTTAGGATATGTGAGCAAAACTTTAGGGCTAGCTGTTGCAAGAGGGAAGAAGCCAGACTGGCTAGAGAGCGTCCTCCACTCCTAGCCCAGCCCAGCCTGCCTATCCCCTCTGGCCACTGCTGTGGACACCTGCCTTAACACACACACCTCGAGTACTCCACAGGTTTGCCTTAAAGGACCTTCCCAAGTTTCCCCAGCCCTGTCTGGCTTCTCCCTTAAAGAGAGGAAATAATTTCGAGAGTGAAGAACGTGAGCACACGAAGAATAAAGTGTGTGTGAAGAGGAGAGGATGAGATAGGAGAAGAGACAGGGTCATTTTCAGCAGAGTCTAGTAGTTTCTCTGTGAGGCAAAATAATCTTAAAAAAAGACTAACCTGCCCTTCCACCCCTTGTACTGCTGTGAGATTGCTCCTATCCTGTGCTCCTGTCTGCGGTGTATTCTAACCCTGGAATAAAGGTGATTGATTGTGCCGTACCTGATTAATTTGGGAATTTCTGTGAATGACTAGGATTTTGGAGTCTTTGGATGGCCAGGAAGGGAGGGGGACAATATTTATTCCCACATCTTTCACTGCAGCCTGAGACTGGGGCTGGGAAACAATCCAACAGTACCCTACTGCTATCCTCTAAGTATCCTTCAGCTAACTGGAACCTATTTCACATGTTACAATAGTTTTCAATGGGAGCCCAAGCACTGGAAATACGGATCTCAGACAGGACTTCTAAAAATTGTAGCAAGGGTAGGGAAAGAATGCAGAGCCAGGCACCTACACTGGAAAGATTAGAAAAAAATGCCCACCATGAATGAATGGCCCACATACCACACAGAGCAGTAGTCAGGAGGGAGAAAGGGGAGGGGGGGAAGCTTTACTGAGAGAAAATACAACAAATTCCAGAGTGCATGGTTTTCAGCTCACCAACTACCCCAGCAGCAATAGGAACACAGACCATTCAGTCACCACACGTTCCCCTACCTCAGGGAGGAAGTGCAGCAGCTAACATCTGGCCTGAGAGCTGCTAGGAACTGGGACAGGGGGAAGGAGAGTCTAGGAATGCCACCATCTCACTCTCTTCTCCTCTTCCCTGGCCTGATCTAGTTATCCAACTGCCCCAGCATACAAAATTCCTGATTGGATCTAATGACGGTTAGGGGCAAAGAAACAGCAGCAAAAGCATTTAAGGGCAAAATTTCCACTAGGATATTCACACTTATTGATCAATAATATAAGACAAAGGTGTTAAAGCCCCAGCCACCCACCTTACTCCTGGATTACTTGCCCTTCAAATCTCAAGATATCAAGAGGTGGACAAGGTGTAAAGCCAAACCTAGGTAGTCCTTCCCTTTATTCCTCCAGTAGAAAGGGGGCTGGATGGCTTAAAGAATCAAGCAGCTAGAGATAAGTGTGTGGGTCTCTTCTAACACACATACTAAGAGATGGTCTGCAGTGGTGGCACCCTTCCTGAAGTCATAGTTCAGCCAAGTTTCAAAGATGGACCAACTTCTGGGAAGAAGAGGCTTCTTGGGAACCCCCACAAGACTTAAGGAGAGGTAGGAGATCTGATGTGAAGAGTTGAGAGGACTCTCCTTTTTTCCCCAATCTCTAAAACCAAGGCAGGAGAAGGAAGGAAGGGCAGAAATGAAGATTCTTCCATTTTCCAGCCTCCTGAAACCTAAAGAGTAAGCCCAATCTTCAGTGGCCATACTAGAGGGCAGGCTGACCCCAAATGTTACCTCCACATTATTACTCTTGCTCAACTCTCTCTTTAAGTCCCTTTATTGCATTCATAGAGAATATATAAGTATTTAAACTTTGACAATAACTTTAACTTGATATATCCAAGTTTGACTTGCTTTTTAATATATTTATAGATAAAAAAAATTAGGCCTCTAACAGTGATAGGGACAGGGAGATTGCTGCCACCACACAGACTTTTGTTTTTAAGTTAACAAAAGATGTAACATCTTTCCTATTCTTCCTCTACCTCTACCCCTCTTCCCACCTTCCCCCAACCTCCATCACCAGACTGGTTTGGGGGATGATGGGATGAAGAGAAGAGAGTGAAGGATACATAATCAAGTGCAAAACACTGTGATAAGTACAGACAATGAATGAGGTGGAAAGGAAAAGTGAAGAGTGTGGGATGGTTAGGGGCTCTAAGGACTTCCCAGAAAAACAGGACGCTGGGATGGGGTTGCTCAGGGGAAAAACAATGAAACTGTCTTAGACTTTAAAAAAATAATAAAGGAATAAAGGGTCAAAACCTAAAGCAAAGAGAGAGAGTGGCACTCCTACCCCTCACTCCGGCCCCTTGGTACTGATCAGTCATTTGTCCCTCTGCCTCCTTCCCAAGAAACAAGGGAGATTAAAGGAAAAGAAACTCCAATCCCTACCCCAAACCAGTTAACAAAACAGACTCCTCTCCCAAAAAAGCTTCAGGAGGACGTCATCATTTTTGCTGAGTCCTATGCACCTTTCCATGGAACCCAATTCAGCGGTCAACTCCCACTCCTAGGTACTCTCTGTTAATGGTTCATTCCCTTCTGGTTTGTCCTTTTCCTGGGATGTCTTTTATCTAAAGCAAAAAGTCCAAAGTGCATTTCTGCTGAATGTAAAGGCCTGGGACAAAAAAGAGCTGCCCAGGCAGGATCGGGTTGGCAGCCCCAGCCCATCCCTTCTGGTGTGAGGCCTCAGGACGGCATGCACTGCACTCGGTCGGGGCCCTCCTCCTCGTCCGATGTGTCTGAGGAGCTGGGAGACTCATCGGAGTCTGCATCTGTGGCCCCAACCCCAGGTTCTCGCCAGCGCTGTGGGATGGGAAAGGCTTGTTAGTAACTTCCATGGGACAGGGACAAGCCTATTAGGTCTAATCTAGAATTCAGATGTCCTAGGCCAGGGGTCAGGGCTAAGATGGTAAATATTCCAGACTCATGGATCACATAGTCTCTGTTGCAACTATTTAACACTATCATTTAAATTCTACCCCAACTGGCTTTGCAGATGTGAAAGTAGCCATAGACAATTCAGAAATGAATGAGTGTGGCCACATCCTAATAAAACTTCATTTACAAAAACAGGAACAGATTTACTGACCTCTGCCCTACAACTCTTCTGGTATGAGAGGAAAATGGAAGGGTAAGCCTAAGATTTGTTATTTTGTCTCAATTCCTTCACCACCCTCATGCCTTTGCCTTTATGAAGATAGTACTATCTGTGGCAGTCGCTGACACTTCTTTCTGCTGGTGGCTCTGCCAAGGCTACATCAAGACTCTGATGGGGATGGGGAACAATGGAGAGGAAACCCAACCAAGACCAATTCCTCTCCCTAAGTAGTGCAGAAGTATACACTAGAACTTTTTTTCACCCTCTAGAGAAGGTCACTGCCCCGGGAGCTTACTTCCTACCCCAGCTTACCCGGTGATGGCGTCTCTGTCTTAGGTGATGCATGAGGAACCAGAGCATATGGCTATCAAACAGGTCAGTGTGGTGCAAGCTATCTTCATCCCGCTCCCGCTTGTTCTTCTTAATAACCTGAAAAAAAGGGTAAGGGGGTATGAATAGGAACCTTGGCCCTGATTGGGAAAGCTGGTGTTCTTGGGAGCTGTTATGCTGAAATGGAGCTAGATTAGGAAAAGATGCTTCAGGTTCTGACACTGAGAAGATGGAAGGCTTTGAAACAGAAGAATAATTCTTTCTTAAGATGTCTGCTATCCTCATTCTACCACTACCTAGAAGTGTTTCAAAGCTGTCCCCTGTACCAGGATTGTTCCTAGGGAGGCAGTGACAGGAATGTTGGGGAGGGTGTTAAGAGTACTGCATTCAATGAATTGGGCAGAAAGTTATTCTTTCCTATGACAATAAAGAATCATAACAGGATGCGGATAAGCAGAAAGAAAAGAATCTCTGCAGTCAACCACTTACATCCTTTAACCCTGTAAGCTCAGTGGAAGCTTCAGCTGTGGGTGCCCAGATCTTGACATCATGGTCTAAGCCACTGGTTGCCAGCACAGGCAGGTGAGGGTGGGGCTCAAGACAGTTTACCTGGTCAAAGGGAAGGAAATAAAGCAGAGGTTCAGGGCTGTGTGAAACAAGAGTTTAAAAACCATTCACCATGAGTCAACCAACTGTCCTCAATCAGGGCTAGTACATCTGCTGGAAAAGCAAGCCCACACATAATTAGTCTAGGCTAAGGGATTTCCTGGGAGTGGAAGAAACAGGGACATAGATTAGGTATAAAGCCAGGTCCGTCTATCATTTCCTCATTTAGGTCAGGGGTGGCTTTAACCCCAGACATAGCCTTAGGAGTGGGTGGGTGACTGGCCAAGCTTACTGCTGGCTTCACAAGAAGGCAATGAGGTCTAGATGACCTCATTCGGTCAGATTCCAAAGCTCCAACTTGCCCAAAGCTGGAGAGAAACAGTTCAGTGACTTTCACCAAGTGGCAAATAAATTTTAAAAAATGAAGAAAGTAGCTGCTGCCACTGAGCCCCCAGAGAAGAGTCAGAGTACAATTACACTTACTTAGCACTGTATTAGAATGAGAGGAAGGCATAGGCTGAGAAGAGGAGGCTAAACTGGGATAAGGGAGGGAGTGGAGGCTCACGTCTGCTTCAGGATCCTCTGCACACATCTCAGGGGACAGCATCATGCTATCTACCCTGAGAGCACAATATGCTCAGCTGTAGGGCAGCATGGAATGGCAAAGCAGCTTCCTGGGAGCCCTCGCACCCTCAATCTCAGCCACCCTTTGGGTACATTCACTGAGCCAAATACATTAATTATATATGGCAGGTAGGCCTTATGGCTTAGGCAGTTTTCTTCAGTCCAAAGGTACTCATGCCCCTTGCTGTCTAACTGGGAAATACCAGCTACTGTAACACAGGGCAGGATAAGGTAGGGGCAGGGCCTTCCCCACAGGAAGAGCTGGTCCTAGATCAAGTTGCTAAAGCATTTTCAGGCTTTTAGTCAGATGAGGAACAGATAGGAAAGGAAATCAGAAGGAAAAAGGTGTGGTGCCAGCTACTCCTCACCTCACCCACCCATCTTGAAACTGCCCTGTAGTCCAAGACTGGCAAGAGGAAAACAGCCTTTGGTAAAAAGCCTTACAGTTCTCTCTCTGGGCTAAACTCCCACCCCCCAAGCTGCACACATAAAGAGCAGCTTAGGAAAAGCCAGAGGTAGGCAGGCATGGAAAATAAAGCCTGACCCACACTTCAACCTCCTTTGGCTTCCATTTTACAAATAATTTTTTTTTAAATGCTAAAAAAAAAAAAAAAAAAAAAACCACCACCCTGAAAGTAAATCTGAGCTTAAGAGTAAAGCATAAATCCCATTCCTTTTTCTCCTTCTCTAGAGAGTAGCTCATTACAAAGTTTCAATCTGGGCTCATTTAGGAAGGGAGGAGGATGTTCCAGTGTCAGACCCCAGAGCATGAGACACTAGAAAGACATTCTATTACTTGGGAATATTATCAAAGGATATGTGACAAGTAACACAAATAAACCTGAACTTATTCATCCATCTCCTGATAAGCCCTTCCTATATCTCTACTCTGAGCTAGCTGTGCTTGAAAAAGTCAGCAAAATAAAAAATCATAAGAGAACAATTCCTTAAGACTACAAACAAAGCCAACTGCAAGAACAACAGAATTACATACAGAGCTGGCAAAGAGAATGGACAGAGAACAGATCGGACCTGTCTCGAATACCAGGACTTACCTCGTCAATGAAGAGTTTCAGCCTTAGAATCCTGAGCTACAGGAATATAGGGAATGGGATAAAGTAGCATGGTGCTTTTGGGAGACTAAGGCATATATAAGGAGCTCTGGTGGTATAGTGCCTAAGGAATATGCCTGCTAACCAGAAGGCTGGCAGTTCAAACCCACCAAGCACTCCTCAGAAGGAAGATAGGGCAATCTACTTCTGTAGAGGTAACGCCTCGGAAACCCAAGGAGGGGTCGCTATGAGTCAGAAACAACTTGATGGCAGTGAGTTTGGTTTTTCAGTTAAGGCATATATTTCCCTCACCCTCGTCCCTGTGAAGATGAATAAAAACAGAGAGTACTAGAGACCAAGCCAAAAACAATTAGGAGACCTGGGCAAGGTGGACAATAATCTCTAATATCCTTTCTAGTTCTAACATTCTATTTTATAACCTAGAACCACTGTGAGTCTGTATTGAGACTGTTATTTGGTGACTCCAGTGCTGGGGGGTTAGGACAAAAGAACAGAGAACCAATACCACATATATCATTCAGCTTATACAGAGGCAAGAACGAGTCAGGAAATTCACTTCAGTGTGCGCTCTCTATGCCTCTGTTTTAGTCCCTCACTCTTATGATCCTAAAATGCAAGCCTGGGCTCACCTATCCCAAGCCAATGCCCTCCCCACTTCAGCACCTGGATTAATTATCAAATCCAAGTACTAGCTGAGTTGAAAGGAGTCTGGCTTCAGTATACTTCTGGAGAACGGCCAAGTATTGGCCTAAGGGAGGGCCCTCAGGCACAGCATATGACAATAGTTTATAAATCCAGAAAGGACCCCCTTTTTTTACTTCCTTCTTCGCAGAATTCTCATTAGGACCCTTTGTTTTAGGTTTGGTTTGTTCACTGCAGATAATACAGAGGAACCTATTCTACAGGCTCTTACTGACAGAGTAGGAAATGAAGCAGCGAAGAGTGAGACACACCTTGAACTTCTAGAATCCTCTCCACTTGCATACAGGCCATAGAAGCCCTGGATCTCCAAAAAACTTAAAGAAAACCAGAGAAAATTTGAAATAGTCTCACACTAGGGAAAGAAACACATAAGAATGAATGGGATCCATATTGTAACGAATCATTCTAAATTCTAAAACCATTCTTTGGATAACCATCAAGAGAAGCTTGGGCTCTTTGCAGCTAACCACAGCTTAGAAGGAATGGAAAGGAAGAGAGACCAAGCTGTCGTAGCAGTTTCTTAGAGGCCTTAAGGAGCCAGTACTACCTTGGTAACAAATAACATCTAAGTCTCCCAAGCTGTCTCTTTCTTATCTTCTGAGGTCCAAAAAACTTGTCATAGAAAGCTAGTGAACTCCTTCCTAACACTAGGTCTCAAAAAAGAAAATTAAAATGGTATGGTTAGCTAGATACATCTGAAGAGCTGACCATTCTTCATTATATTACTTAGGATTCCCACTCTTGCTCTTTGTCCCACTTCCATAGAGGCTGTGTGTAAAATTCAAAGGACAGGCAGACTGTGATACAATCATGGGTTGTATAGCAGGCAGCTCAGCCACTCCTTCTTTAAACAGACATTCTGCCAAACACACACATATTATGTAAGCATATTTAACTTAGTACAACACTTTACTAATAAAATAATCACACCAAATAAATTCAATACTGAATATACCACATTATCTAATACACAAATCATGTTCTGATTTTCCCAGCTGTCTAAAAAATGTTCTTTATAGCTTTTATCCCCAGATCCAGGAACCAGTTAAGCTATTCTTTAAGGGATGTGACATGGAGACCTCTTTGTTATTGTGTGGAATGGTGTGCTCTGACCTCTAGTGCTTTTCTTTTGAAAAAGGTCCATACCTAGAGATAGTTATCTCACTTAGGCCAGGTTCTTCCCAAAGATCCCTTTTCTCTTCTTCATCAACTGTCTTACAGGGGCAGAAGACAGGAAAAGGGAGAAAACATTCCACCAAAACCTCAGTACTCCTAAGTTATACAGCCTTTTCATTCAGCTCTGGACCTCTAAGAAAGCATGATATCATGTTGTCACAATGAGACTTCATGGGCCCTGGTAAAACCTACCTTAATGACTGGAGAGAAAAGGAAGTCAGCCAGCCCAGCACACCATACTCACCACGCCTCCCTTGTCCCCCTCCATGAACTGAATGATCTGGCAGGATGATTTCTCCCAGAGGAAGATGTGCCCGCAGTCACTACCGCTCACCACAAACTCACTCTTGGGGCCATAGAAATTGACACCTTTTACTGAAATGATAAATGAGAGGAACAAACCACATGAGGGTTGGCATCAGGCCTCTCTGTTATTTACCTCACAGGGAATTAAGTTATTCACAAATTCTAAATCAGCTGAGAACCAAAGAATTCATTTCACTTTCACAAAACAAATCAAGGGATTGTGCATGTATAATAGATAGTTAGAAGAAGAATCACATGAGACACAGAGACTATTTATACTCTCCCAAAATGCTCCACTGGGCTGAGGAGTTGGCAGTCCCTTAGCAACAGCCTCATATGATTAGTCTGTATCCTATCGAGCAGCCAAAGGCCCCACTAATGGCTTCCCCATCCCAACCTGAATTGTTCCAGCTCTGCCTAGTCCTAGGCAGCACCATCCTATACTCTAGGATTATGCTTGATCTGTGTACTTCATTGGTTCTTTGACAATGCTTCTTGGGTCATTAACTCACCTGAGACTAGGGGAGGTAATGCCACAATTGCCTATAACCAGCAGCATCTGAACTGTGCTTGCTACCAGGACTCTGAACAGCCAGGTTCTACTCTCTGGAGTGAGAGAAGCCAGAAGCCCTAACTACTATCTACCACAGACAGTCCCATATTTGTTATTAAACTGGCATCCTTTCTTTTGTCTGCCAGTAGACTGAGATCCAAGTAGAAGCTTCTCCATCTCTCCTCACCAGCTCAAGAGGAAAAGGAAAACAATCCAACTATTCTCTCCTAGTCAAAATTATGACAGGTATCTTTTAAGAGTGGTAAAAACAAAGAGCAGTGATTCCCTAATTTTTCTACACATTAGAATCACGGGAGGAGCTTTAAAAATCCTGAAGTTCAAGTAGCACCCCATACCAATTAAATTAGAATGTATGTGACAGGAGCCAAGCATCAGCCATTTTTGAAAGATTGTCAGGTGATTCCAATGTGCAGCAAAATTTGGGAACCAGGGACACAGAACAAAAAAGGTCCATCTTCACTGTAACTTGGGCTAGGGACCACCATCATTCCTCCTCTGTCTTGCACTCTCCACATTTAAGGTATTTCAGGACAACTGCCTAAAGAGGGCTTTCCCTGGCTTGCCAACAAGGCTTTGTGACTATCCTGAAGTTACCTAGAGTCATAATCATTAAAAAAAAAAAAAGCCAGTCTAGATTTCATATGCCCAAGTTAATCAGAAGCAACATTACTCAGTGGTGAAAGATGCTCCCATGTCCTCTTTCCTTTAGACACAGAAGACTCATGAAAGCTCCAGGCCAACTGGGAATTACCTCTCACTACCCAATAACAGGCAGCCTACTCACTTCAGTAGTTCATATTTGCACAAACTAAATAAAATACTGTGGTTCTCCAAGCAAACAGATTTGGGCCTTAGACACCAAGGAAGATAGCCTCACCTGTGGCATTATTTCTATGGCCTTTATATCTCTTAACATACTGGGCCCCATCGCTGTGAGAGGAGTTGAAGAGGTAAATGTCTTCATCATTGTAACTGGCCAGGAGCTCTGCCAAGAACAAGCACATAGCAGTGAAGGCAAAGGCTGAAAAAAGCTGGGATCAGGTGGTGGGGGTTGGGGTGGCGCTTCTTGCCAATAATGCCCCCTCCTAATACCCAGGTATAGCACCCATTTTACTCAGAAAGGCAAGCAAGTCAGGTTGTCTGACAGGCTAGGAACTCACTGCCAACCTAGGGGTAGCAGAATGCTCAGGAAGAACATACCTATTAACTCAGAATTGAGTCAAAGGCATAAGAACCTACTCAGCCAAGTAGTCTGGGCTTCAGGATAGGCCCTGCCAAACATTGCCGGCAGCATTCTGCAAGTGGTGCCGGGCACCTCCAAGGGTCATCTGCTGTATCCTCCCACTATGTGCTCACCATCAGCAACTAATCCCCAGCTGCTCCACTTGGAGCTATAGCACAGGGGTGAGCTCTGGAGGGCACATGCCTCACTGGCTCAGCAGCTCCCTAGACAGAGGGGGCATGCCAGCCTAGGAGCTGGGCCCTGCTCACGTACCTGTGCCGTCGTGGCTGTACACAAGACAGGTGATGTTTGCTTTGGACTCACTGTTCACCTGCAATAAGGAGCAGATACTGACTGATGCCCCACCCCCCCATTTGTTATACCACCTTCAGGAAACAGGTTTTTCTTCAAAGTCCCCTGTATTTTCTCCAGGCATTGAGAGAGACAGGTAGGAACACAACCAATGAAACGAGACCACCACAGGGGTAAGAGTCCTAGGGATTTCTGTTGTTTGTCTTCTGTGTCCTATATATTTTATTATATATACCTTATCTTTTTTTTTTTTCCCCCCCAAATATATACACCTTATCTTTTAAGGCCTCACCATCATGGTATTAGGTAGTTACCATTACCTCTATTTTGTCAGTAAGGAAACTGAGGCCTAGAGAGGTGAAGTGACTGCCCAAAATCACAGAGCTGAGAAGTGGTAGAGCTAGGATTCAAATCCAGATGTCTGACTCAAAAGTCCAAGCTCTTCCTACCATACCAACAAGTTCAGGGAAAACCTTGGGGGCAAGTCAGGGAAGCTTGGAGCCACTGGCCCTTCATAAATCTTACCAGGTGATGAGGACAGAATTTCTTGAGCACTCCATTGTTCTCATTCTCATCTATTTTCCTCTGGTCATAAATCCTGTGGTGAAGAAGCAATGAAAATATCAAAACTTATAAGCTGATCCCTTGAAGAGTTCCAATTCGATATAGTAGCAGTAACAGCAGCCAGCTGGAAGTAAGGGCAAAAAAAAAAAAAAAAAAATCAAGCTTCTGGTTCATGTTCTTCCTCTACCTTGCAGGTCCTTCCTTCTTTAATCCCTTTCCAAACACTAACTCTTCCATCCAGGTCCTTCCTATTTCAAGTGGCAATCCTCAATTATATCAGTTTCAAGTGACTTACCCATCTCTGAACTTTTGTATCACTTACTGTTTATTTTCACTAAAAAAACTAAGCTTTTTTGTGTATGTTACCTCCCCAATAGGGTTTATTACTCATAGGTAGAGGCCATGCTTTTATATAAGTCAGCAAGTCTTCAATCTGTCCCTGAAATCTTTTTATTTGGCCAGTTCTCCCTCTCTCATATCCCTTAACCACTATTATAAACCCTCACTTTTTTCCCCAAGACTCCCTCGCCTTCCTTTATTCCCATCAAGCAAGCTCCTTTCACTTTCCCGTCTCTCTTTAATCCAAGCATTTTCTAAATTAATCATTCATTCAAATAAATGATATATGCCAAGTATTATGCTAAGTGATGGAAGTACAGTGAGGAATAAGACAGGTTCATTCGGTCCTTGTCCTCCCACATCGGTCTCCACCAGTCTCTGAGCCTAATCTTTCTATAGCTATTCTTTTTATTATCGTATTTTCAACAGTTTATACATATTTTGCTTCATGACACTAACTGCAGTCTCCACAATGTAACAGCTCTTTTCCCACTTCCTCCCTGTGGTTAATTTTTCCCTGTGCCCTTCCTTCCTATTCAGTCCTGCCTTCTAAGCTTTCTCCCTGTGCAAATGGACTCACTGTTCACCTGCAATAAGGAGCAGATACTGACTGATGCCCCACCCCCCCATTTGTTATGCTTCTGTTCTCCCACAGTTGACTGTTCTAAGGAGTGTACCTACCTATTGTAATTGTCCACCTTGTAGGCTTTACTGAAGTTAAGCCACAGGAGTGAGTTCAATTCTAGACCTGAAGGGTGACTAGGGCCCAGTCTCGGAGGTCTCACCAGTCTCTATCAGATCCACTCTTAATCTCAACCCTTCAGGGACCCTGTTTGATTAGTCCATTTCTCAACCTCTTCCTCATCACTGCTCCATTTAAAAAAACAAAAAACTTAATTCTACTGACCGTCCTTTCCTATTGCTTCCCCTTTCCTTCCCCTCACAGTCAAATTACTGAAAAGAACAATCTACAATCTACCTTCAATACTTTCACTTCTCAATTCATCCCAATATGGCTTTGGCCTTCACCTCACTAACTCCTCTAGCTGATGTCATCAGTAACCTCACTGCCAAAACCAACAAGATACTTTTCAGGCTCTTCTCTTTTGGCTTGACATTGTTGAGCACTTCTTCCTTGTAACACTTTTTTCCTTTAATGTCCAACCACTACCTAATGTTGTTCATGGCTTGTCTTTTACTATCCCTTAAATGTCAATGTTCCTCAAAGATCAGGTCATAAGTTCCGCTCTGACTGTATACTACAGATTTCAACCCTTCCTTACGGGAATATCCACCACTTGTCTGGTCAATTTGTGGTGGCTTGCATGTTGCTGTGAGGCTGGAGGCTATACCACCGTAATTTCAAATACCAGTAGGATCACCCACAGTGGACAGGTTTCAGCGGAGCTTCCAGACTAAAACAGACTCAGAAGAGGAGGGCATCCACTTTTCAAAGAATTGGCCAGTGAAAAACCTTATGAATAGCAGTGAAACACTGTCTGATATATTACTGGAAAACTTGATGAATAGTCCTGAAACACTGTCCGATAATATGTGCCAGAAGTGAGCTCCTCAGATCAGAAGGCACTCAAGATACGACTGGGGAAGAGCTGACTCCTCAGAGTAGAGCCAACCTTAATGATGTGGATGGAGTAAAGCTTTCAGGACCACCATTTGCTGATGTAGCACAACTCAAAATGAGAAGAAATAGCTGCAAACATCCATTAATAACCAGAACATGGAATGTACAAGAACATCCTTCCCTTTCTTCCTTAAGTACTTATTATTGTTTTGGTGTCACAAATGTCTAATACATTGGTGTCCCATCAAGTTGACTCCTACTTACAGAGATCCTATACAACAGAATAGAGCTATACCATACGGTTTCCTAGGCTGTAATCTTTACAGGAATATATGGCCAGGTCTTTTCTCCCACGGAGACTGGTTCTAACTATCAACCTTTAGGTTAGCAGCTGAGTGCTTAACCATAGTACCAACAGGGCTCCTCAGTAATTTTTAAGAATCCACTGCATTTTAGATATGATGCTAGACCAGGATTGGCAAACTTTTTCTTCTTAAAGAACCAGACAGTAAACATTTTAAGCTTGCAGGCCCATCTAGTCTCTGCTGCAACTATTCAACTCTGCCACTATAGCATGAAAGCAGCCATGGACAATATAAATAAATGGTCATGGCTGTGTTCCAATAAAAATTTAATTACAAGCATAGTTTGCCAACCCCTATGCTAGACAATACTGACACAAAAATGAATATGGATTTCCCGTTTTCTGGGCACAGGCAGGCCCTTGACATTTTAAATCCAATAAAAATGGTTTCAGCACCCTCCCAAGACCCTTACTTACTGAATCCTTTATCCATAGACTTCAGTGACCCACTAAAAAAAAAAAAAACCAAACTCACTATCGTTGAGTAGATTCGACTCATAGTGACTCCTCCTTGGGTTTCTGAGGCAGAATCTCTATGGAAGTAGATTGCCCAATCCTCCTTCCAAGGAGTGGCTGGTGGGTTTAGTTACACTAAATGTCTCTTATTCCTTTTCACCTGTTTTTTTTCCGCCTGCTCTTAATCTAGGGTTCCTTCAGTGTCGCAGATCTCAGGGAGCAAAGGGACTACTTATCAACTGTGTTTTATGAACAAGAGCATATACCAAATCCTTTAGCAATAAATGTACATGTCAACCAATCACACTGCCATCTCTACCACCATGGGATTCATCTAATACATTCTCCTTTTCTCCATTCCTGTAAATTCTTAAACGATGCTAAGCAGAATTTAGCAGCAGGGACTCAAACCTATGCCTTTTCTACTTGCCTACTTTTTTTTGGCCATAGGCCAACATCTTCCCACAGACTTCTCCTTAAACGTTTCCTCATAGTCCTAAACTAAAATTCCCTATCTGTGATGCAAAAGCCTTGGGAATGAGTAAGCTATTTCTCTGTATTCCTCTGAAGGAATTCCTTCAGGCTGGAAGAGAAAGCTAATGGTATTATAAAATATTCACCACAAATGTTTTCAAATTTAATTGGAGGATGCACTCTTCAGGTTTTTTCAAAGAAGGAATCATAAAGAGGGAAATCCTAAAATGTTCAATTAGCTGAATTAAGCGGTACCAGAAAAGTTGCAGGTGATAATGCATAACATCAGAGAAGAGATGTAGTGCTGAAAGGACTAAAAGGACTGTCTGCTCATGCATTTTCAGTGTGCTCCAAAATCTACACATGCTTTTGTCTAGTAAATATCCCATTATCTGCTGCAAACTTGAGATATACAAAAGAAGAGAGGAAAATGAGACTGATAAAAGACAGAAGATAAGAGTATCTCTATTGTCTGAAATGTTAAAACTAATTCTTAGCTTACTCTAATCCCAAGAAAGTATCAGCTTTGGAATAAGGCATTATCAACTGCAGTTTGCAACACAGCCAACTCTTGTGTTCCCCTCCAAACATCAAGGTCCTAGTAACAGAATTCTCTAGGGACACAGCAATTTAGAGCTCTAACTAGGAAACTGCGATTAGAAATTTCAGTGAATGGTTTATGTGGAGGAGGTAGCCCCTGAAAGTTCTGACAACCACAACCCTTCTGAACAAATTTCTTATTAAAAAAAAAGTGACATATCTGACAACTGGTAAACACAGAAGAAAGGACGTGCAGGGAAAGAAGAAAATAACAAGCTTCTGCAATTCTTTTGAGGCTGGACTCTGGAACAGGTAAGCTCATCTCTTATATTTTCTATAAACTTATTATTTCCCTATGATTCTTATTACTCATTAATAAGGATGGTTATAAATCATTAATTTCAGGATAGTTATAAAAATGTGCTCTCACAGGAGTGGCAATATTAATTTCTGATCAAATTGACTTTAAGACAAAAACCACCACACGACAGGAAGGACATTATATAATGGCTAAAGGATCAAATGAACATGAAGATATAACCATAATAAATATCTATGGACCCAATGAAAGAGCCCCAAAATACATAAATTAGACATTAAAAGAGCTGAAAAGTCAAATAGATGACTCCACAGCCACAGTGGGAGACTTTAATACACCACTTTCAATGAAAGACAGAATACCCGGAAAGAAACTCAACAATGATGCAGAAGAGCTAAACAATACAATCCACAAACTTGACCTCATAGAGCACTTCACCCAACAACAGCACAATATACGTTCTTTTTCAGTGCGCATGGAACATTTTCCATGATAGACCATATGTTAGGCCATAAAGCAAGCCTTCATAAATTTAAAAACATTGAAATACTGCAAGGCATCTTTTCAGATCATAATGCTATCAAATTAGAAATCAACAATAGGAAGGCCAATGGAAAAAGAGTAAACACATGGAAAGTAAACAACATCCTCCTAAAGAAAGACTGGGTAAGAGAAGAAATCAAAATTGAAATTCAAAAATTCCTTGAATCAAATGAGAATGAAAACTCAACATACCAAAATCTTTGGGACACAGCAAAAGCAGTGATCAAAGGCCAATTTATAGCAATAAATGCACACATACAAAAAAGAAGAAAGAGCCAAAATCAACACTTTAAACGAACATCTCCAACAATTAGAAAAAAGAACAAGAAAAGCCTACAGTCACCAGAAAAAAGGAAGTAATATCAAGATTTGAGCAGAAATCAATGAAAGAGAAAACAGAAGGCAAAAGAAAAAAAT